AGCTGGTTTGCAAAGAGCAAGACTGACAGGTCCCCATGCACAGGGAATGGAAATCCAGCAGGATCTCCCACAATCAAATGTGTGATACAGATTGAACAGATATAGAAATAGCAGAGGGGCCAGCAGGGACCTGATCTACTCTAGGGGCTCAGGGGAGGTTTCTCTCAGGAGACATGGAAGCTAATGTTCATCTAAACTAGAATGCTAGGATGCCTGGGTGGCTCGGCAGTTTAGCCTCTGCCTTTGGCTCAGGGCGTGATCCTGGAGTCCCGGAATCAAGTTCCACATCAGGCTCCCTGCATGGAGCCTGCTTCTCCCTCTGCCTGTGTCTCTGCCTCTCTCTCTCTCTCTCTGTGTGTGTGTGTCTCATGAATAAATAAATAAAATCTTAAAAAAAAACACCCAAGTATTGTAAAAATCAGCTTCCACTGCTATAATGCTATGGTGGAAAAAAAAAAAAAAACAACAAACCTAACCCAACCTCCGTGGCCACAGCCACAAGCATTTATTTTCATGCTCCTGGGGCTGCACGTTGACTGCAGCTTGACCATTATAAGTTGGGCTTGGCTGTGTGGCTTTGCCCAAGGCTATGGGTTGGGCTCACGTCTACTTTGTGTAGTTTCTGGAGCCCAGGATGAAGGGACATCAGCTGTGAGGGGATGTTCTCTGGCAAGTCATTGGAGTTCAAAGACAAGCAAATTACACAAGCATGGTTACATCATCTGTCTACATTATGTCCTCTCATTCCATTGGCCAAAACATGTCATGTAGCTGAGCCATCAGTGGGGAAAGGGAAGGGGAGGAATCATTGCTCAGTAACAACTATCCTCAACCAGTAAGAGTTAGGTGGAAGGGAGGGAATGGCATCCCAGGTGAAAGATCCTGAGCTGAGATCAGCGGTGATCAATTGCCACAGATTTCTAAATGCTCTCCTTATTTGAACAAAGGAGTGTCTAAACTGGAATCTGGGGGTAGGGTGGGGTTTCATCACATTCATTGTCCAAGACACAACACTGTTCAACAGTCTACAACATGGCAACTAAAAGTAGAGCCTTGTGGTTGGAATGTGGTGAGATGTGATGGGGCAGGTGGTGGGAAATGATCCCTGGTTCCCATGTGTGCTGGTATGTGTGCAGGGCAGGATGGTAAGGGATGTTGGGAATGGCTGTTGAGTGTATATGTGTTGAGTGCAGCAAAACAGAGAACATCCCTCAAGCTCCCAGCTTCATCCTGTGGGCAATCAGAATTGCAGCCTCCTGCCCTGACCACAAAGGGGGAAGGTGACATCGCCCTGTGGTGCTGCGAGGGAAAGGGCCAGATTTGAAAGAGCCAGTTCTAAGCTCCGGAGAGACCTGGGTTCAAACCCTGACTTTTCCCTGATTCTCACATTGGAACCTTCTCACATTGGCTTCCTTCTAGCTCTAGAATTCCTCTCTCCTGTCACTCTAAGAGGACAAGTCAGAGTAAAGAGAGGGCCATGCTGATACCATAAGCAGGACCTGAAACAGGAAGTTGGTATGCATGGAAGGACAGGGCCCATGCTTGATGGTCACCCTTGGCAGTGTGGAAGACATCCCTCCTTCAACACAACTCATATTGGGATGCAAGTGCTGCCACCATGGTGGGGCTCTGTGGGACAGGTGCACCTGCTCCCCCTTCCATGGCCAAATTTGGACAGGACATCTTCCCTTTGCAGTAAAAAACTTCACAGTAAACCTGAATATTTCTCCAGTGGGAGTCTTTAGATTCCAGAGTGACCAGGAACTCATCTCTAGAGTTTTTATTTTTAAAAACTTTTTATTTATTTATTCATGAGACACACACACACACAGAGGCAGAGACACAGAGGGAGAAGCAGGCTCCATGCAGGGAGCCCGATGTGGGACTCCATCCTGGGACTCCAGGATCACACCCCGGGCTGAAGACAAGGTGCTAAACTGCTGAGCCACCCAGGGATCCCCCTTGTCTCTAGAGTTTAAGCATTTTGCAGGAATTCTGAAACATTATACTTTCACAGTATTGATGATTACCCCCAAATGATTAGATCACATTCTAGCTTATATGGAGAACCAGAGTAAAAATTAAGAACCATAATATAGGGGATCCCTGGGTGGCGCAGCGGTTTGGCGCCTGCCTTTGGCCCAGGGCGCGATCCTGGGGACCCGGGATCGAGTCCCACGTCGGGCTCCCGGTGCATGGAGCCTGCTTCTCCCTCTGCCTGTGTCTCTGCCTCTCTCTCTCTCACTGTGTGCCTATCATAAATAAATAAAAATTAAAAAAAAAAAGAACCATAATATAGTTTTTGGCCTGTGTTTGCCTTTGCATTTTTGACTGAATCGGTACCCAGCAGTCATCTAAGGAGACAGTATGAGTTTAATTCCAGTATGTTTCAAACCCCTGAAATCCAGTTTTGTTTCCATCGTCCTCACAACCCCAAGACAGCACAATGGTCCTGGAATCCACAATCTTTGGGCAATTGCCACAGATTTCTAAATGCTCTCCTTATTTGTCTTTCCATCCTCTGACCCCCAGTGCAGAGTATTCTCCAAACAGCAGCCACTTTATTGGCAAAGAAACTGGGAATCAGCAAGAGTGATTAATTTGGACTTGGCTATCATGGTGTCAAAGCCTCAGTGGGAACCAGCCAGTCTGACTTTCATTTAGTCAGTCAGTGGTAAGAATAGTGCTTTGGGGTCAGACTGGCCTGTGGGTGGATCCCAGTTCAGCCATGCACTAGTTGTGCAAGCTTCAGCATGTGTCTACCTTTTGTATTTCCAGTGTTCTTGCCTTAAAGTGGACAATAATAAGTTTATAGAGTTCTAATGAATAGTCAAAGAAATCATGGCAGCAGAGCCCCCAGAGTCTTACTAATTTGGAGTGCTGGGGCCAGTGTCTACATCTTACACAGGGCTTTCTTCCAAATCACAACCCCCCCTGTGCAGACAGAAGTGCTGAGGAACTAAATATACACAGGAGCATCTTTCTACCGCGACTGCTAACATGTAACTACTTTAGCTTCCTCTCTTCTTGGGTGAAATAATTCTGAGTTGTATGTACTGCACTGATTCCCAGGACTCCCCAACAGAATTAAGACCCAGATGCCCACCATGGTAACATTCTTTATTGGCTATCACCCCTATCCTGTTCCTGTCTCATTTCCTAACTACCCCATTAGTGTTTCCTGAGACCACCTACTTACACTCAGATCCTTGTCTCAGGTCTATTTCTGGGGAACCCAAATTGAAATATAATGCAAATCATTTATTCATTCAGCAATGACTTATTAAGCTCTTTCACGAGTTAGACTCTGTGCTAGATCCCGGGGATGTTGCAACAAACAAGACAGAATGTGTCCCTGCTCTCAGGGACCTGAAAGCCTGGGGAACCAGCAACAGCAAGTAAACAAATGACACCATCATTTTGGATAGTGACAAGTTCTGTGAGGAAAATGATGTGATAGTGATAGGAGCAGGTTACACGGGGGTGGTCAGGGAGGGCCTCTCTTAGAGCTGATATTTAAGCTGAGACATGAAGAACGACAAGACAACAAGACGGGGCCAGGCAAAAACAATCTTGAGGGAAAGAGAATTCCAGAAAGAGAACATTAAGTAGACTCTCATATAGACATGTGCTTGGCGTATTTACTGAGGGAGCAAAGTAAAGTTACGGAGGGAGTTGATGTGTAGTCAATTAGAGAGAACATATTAGAAGTAAGTTGGAGAAGCAAAAGTAAGCAGACCAGATCCCACAGGCCCTAGGACACAGTAGGAAATCTGGATTTTATTGTAACAGCTGTGACAAGCCACCTAGTGTTTTCAGTGGAAGAGTGATGAGCTCTGAGTCAATAAAACACAAAGTCTCTCTTTTTTTATTTTTAAAGATTTTTATTTATTTGAGAGAGATGGGGGAGGGGCAGAGGGAGAAGAGGCTCCCCGCTGAGCAGGGAACCCAACATGGGGCTTGATTCCAGGACCCCGGGATCATGACCTGAGCCAAAGGCAGACGCTCAACCACTGAGCCAGCCAGGCGTCCTTGAAGAGTTCTGTATTAAGTTAGTCATTAGATACCTAAGGGGAGGTGCCCCCTATGCAGCTGGACTCCGAGTCCAGGCTGGAACAGTGAATGGGACGTCTTCAACCTACAGCGCACCGCTGTCCGGTGGAGAGGACGTGAGCCACGTACGCAATTTAAAACTTCCCGGTAGTGGGGGTCCCTGGGTGGCTCAGCGGTCTCGCGCCTGCTCCTGGGCCAAGGCGCTATTCTGGAGACCTGGGATCGAATCCCACGTCAGGATCCCTGTATAGAGCCTGTGTCCCTGCCTATCATAAATAAATCTTTAAAATTTCCCAGTAGCCACATCAAAAAAAAAAAAAAAAAGAAACAAGTGAAACTAGTTTATTTTTATTTATTTTTTTAAATAAAGATTTTATTTATTTATTCATAGAGACATAGAGAGAGAGAGGCAGAGACACAGGCAGAGGGAGAAGCAGGCTCCATGCAAGGAGCCCGACGTGGGACTCGATCCCAGGTCTCCAGGATCACGCCCTGGGCTGAAGGGGGCGTTAAACCGCTGTGCCACCCGGGCCGCCCAAAGTTTTAGGTTTTTTTTTTATGATTTTATTTTATTTTTTAAGTATAATCTCTACTACATCCAACGTGGGACTCGAACTCACAACCTGAGATCAAGAGTCATGTGCTCCCTTGACTGAGCCAGCTGGGTGCCGCGAAACTAATTTATAGTTATTTAACCCAGTATATCCCACATATTGTTTCAACACGTAAGCAATATGAAAACGATTGATTATTCTGCACTCTTCCTGCGACATCCGGTGTGTATTTTACAACTCGGAACACCGTTCCGAGCACTCGGAAGCCACAATGAGGCTCGACCACTCACTCGGCTCAGCGTGGCAGCGGTCTCACAAAACCGGGACCCGGGACCCACCCGGACCGCACAGGGAGAAGCACTTCCGCTTCCGCCGGAGCGCCCGGGACGGAAGTCGCGGCGGAACGGAAGTCGGCGGTGTGAGCGTTTAGCCGCGGAACGCTGAGTCGGCATCCCGCGGGCCTAGGGGAGCTTCTGTCGCCGGGCGCTCGGGTTGCGGGAGGTGAGCCGGGCGGTCGGCGGAGGTGGCCGGTTCTTGGGGCCAGAGGGCGGCGGAGCCCCGCTCAGGGGAGGATGGCGGGGGCGCTGGAGTCAGACTGTCGGGGTTCGCGCCCCAGCCCCTCTGCCTATTTCCCTATGACCTTGGGCACGTCACCTCCTTGTCCTTCAGCCTCAGCCTCGTCACCCGTGAGGTGGGGACGATAGAACCTGCTCTGCATTGTTGCCGTGAGGCTCGCACACGGGAATCCGTGGGAAGCGCGGAGCACCGCGCCTGCAGCATTGCAGTCACCCCAGCGGAATGTTTGGGAGGTTTTATCGTTAGGTTTACTTCTGTGGAGGTGAAGCTGCTGTGTCGTCGTTATTTGAGCCCCCGCCCCTCTCCACCTCGTGGCTCCCCACACTGTGCTTTGCAAACATTGTATTTGTATCATCACATTTGATCTTACTACTCTCCGCATCTTACTCCTGGAGCAGTGGGAGCTCGGTCCCCAGGTGCCCAGGGTTACCTGGCTCCGCAGCAGCCGGGGCCGACTGTGAGTCCGGGGGCGGTGTATCTCCCAGGAAAGGGAGTGCCGGCTGCACATGTGCGGTCACTGAAGATTTACTGTGTGCCACTTTGGATTTTTAACATCTTTAATTCCCACGATACCTCCGGGGCCTGGGTGATAAACTGCCTTTATCTCTTTCCACGTGTGGAATTGGCAGATCAGAGATAGGAATTTGACTTGCCCAAGGTCACACAGCAAGTAAGGGGGCAGAAAAGAGTGACTTGGAAGCTCACACTGAAGTCTGTTATCCTCTGATACTTGAATGTAGGTTAGCACTGCGCCTGCCCAAAGGGCTGGCGGCGTGCATATCCAGCAGGTGGCCGAGTTAGAGAGGTAACAGACTCCATCTGCTCATTTTTTTTTTTGATTTTTATTTATTTATGATAGTCACACACACACAGAGAGAGGCAGAGACACAGGCAGAGGGAGAAGCAGGCTCCATGCACCAGGAGCCAGACGTGGGATTCGATCCCGGGTCTCCAGGATCGCGCCCTGGGCCAAAGGCAAGCGCTAAATCGCTGCGCCACCCAGGGATCCCTCCATCTGCTCATTTTACCCGTACAGCACCTGCCATGAGCCAGTTCCTGAATGGGAGATGCAGAGATGTAGAAATGAAAGATTGTTCCCTGTTTTTAGGGACCTCCCAGTCTGTAAGGGATAGCCGAAGTGTAAGTCGTCATTGACTGCAAAGTGTGAGGAGTCGTGAGATAGACATTGGGAGGCTTTGGGAACCTCGTGGAGGACGCCAACCTGGACTTTGAGAATGGTGGTCAGGACAGGCTTTTGGGAGGAGGCAGAGGCCTTAAAAGCACAGGAGTTGGCTGAGTCAGAGAGAAGATAGGCTGGCCAGAGAGTACAGCGTATATAACAGCCTAGAAGCTAGTGAAGATCAGTACAAAAATGCTATGACTGGAGTGAGGCAGTCAGGCTGGAGATCCCGAGGTCCAGAATTCCTTCCTGGGAGGCAACCACTGTTTCTTTTTTCTCTTCTCTTCTCTTCTCTTCTCTTCTCTTCTCTTCTCTTCTCTTCTCTTCTCTTCTCTTCTCTTCTCCTCTCCTCTCCTCTCCTCTCCTCTCCTCTCCTCTTCTTTCTCTTCTCTTCTCTTCTCTCTTCAATCTTTTTTACAAGATTTTATTTATTTATTTGAGAGAGAGAGGAGACACAGGCAGAAGGAGAAGCAGACTCCACTCAGGGAGCCCGACGTCGGACTCGATCTCGGGTTTCCAGGATCACACCGTGGGCTGTAGGCGGCGCTAAACCGCTGAACCACCTGTCCCGCAACCACTGTTTCTTATGCATTGTAGAGATACTATGTTCATTTACAAGTGTGTACCTTAGTATTCCTGTACTCTCTCCTCCCCCACTGCAGATTAAAGTAGAGCACACCAAGGTACTATTGAGCGTCTTGCTTCCTTGTTTTCGTCATGTATAGGTACAGCCTTACTTTCTAACAGTTGGATTTGATCCTATTGCATGGATGTGCTATGACTTCTTTAACTACTCCCCTTTTGATGACATTTATATATTTTCCGTACCTTTGCTGCTGCATTATCCATATACATGGGTCATTTTGCACATGTAAGACTGTATCTGTAGGATAAATATCTAGAAATGGAACTGCTTGCTCCAAGGGTTTGTGTGTTTGTAACTTTGGTGGCAAGTGGCAAATTGCCCTCTATAAAGAGCATGCTTGTTTTCCATCCTCCTAGCTATGTGTGAGAGGGCCTCGGTAGAAAGTTTAAAGGCAGTAATTCGAGATCTTGAAGGGTAGGAGTCGCTGATCGGACATACGGTACTCCATGTTAGATACTTTCCATTTGAAGGAACTCAAAGGAAGATGCCCTCAGATAGTAAGTGGTTTTCATAGTACTGGGAGGCAATGTAGCAAGGTGGCTAGGAGCATGGGCTTTGTAGTCATATAGACCTTCATTCGAGTCCTGGCTCTGTTGCTTTGGTGGGAGCTTAGGTAAGTTCCTCAGCCTCTCTGCATCTATTTCCTCATCTCTGAATGGGGATAATAATAGTGTCTATTGTCTATTTTGCTGAGGATTGCTCTGAAGATTTAATGCATTGTTACAGGAAAGCCCTTGAAACTGTTCCTGGCACAAGATGCTGCCTTTTTTTTTTTTTTTTTAAGATTTTATTTATTTATTTATTTATTTATTAGAGACACAGAAAGAGAGAGAGAGAGAGAGAGAGTGAGGTAGAAACACAGGCAGAGGGAGAAGCAGGCTCCATGCAGGGAGCCCGACATGGGACTCGATCCCAGGTCTCCAGGATCACACCCCAGGCTGAAGGCAGGCGCCAAACCACTGAGCCACCAGGGCTGCCCACAGATGCTTCTTATATTGTTGCACAGTCTCATCTGATCTCTACCACTCCTTTGTTTTGAAAACTACCTAGATTTGTATCTTACTTAGCATTTCTTAGTGTGATCTTGGGCAAGTTGCCCCAGTTTTTTTAAACTTGCAAAATAGGGATAATATTAAGTGTATCTTCTTGTGTTTTTGTGTATTAAATAATATTAGTACACTGGAAGCTTTTAAAGCATTACCCTGTATATAGTGTTCAATAAATGTTGGTGATACCTGTTATTCTTTTGCAGACTTTGGGCTGCTGATTTAGTGCCATGCATCCTTTACAGTGTGTCCTGCAAACACAGAGGTGGGGGCCCTTGGCTTCTGTGTCCTGGCTGCTGCTCAGGACCTGCAGGGCACTTAGTAGTCTCCCCAGCACTGCATATCCCAGTCCAGAGAAGCAGCAGGAAGATGGAGTTCAGAAGGATTTCAGCTCCAGGCTGGCCACTGGGCCAACTTTTCAGCATTTTTTAAGAAATGCTTCAGCTCCTCAAGAGAAGCCAGACATGGAGGACCCACCCCCCTATGTCACAGTGGAAGAACTTTTAGGGAGGCAGAGAAAAGGTTGGTTTTATTTTTCTTCTCTCTTTGGACTTCCTGCTCTGTTCCTTTCCAGCATCGACAGCCTGATTCTTAATTATTTTTTTATTGTAGACCCAGCTTTGGAGGATTAATAGTCTGGGAATAGCTGCTAGTTATGGAATTGTCAGAGACTTCTAAAGTAACATTGATATAAAGAAACTTGGGGTGCCTGGTTGGTTCAATCAGTTAAGTATCTTTTTTTTTTTTTTTTTTTTAAGATTTTATTTATTTATTCATGACAGCCAGAGAGAGAGAGGCAGAGACACAGGCAGAGGGAGAAGCAGGCTCCATGCAGGGAGCCTAATGTGGGACTCGATCCCGGGTCTCCAGGATCACACCCCATGCTGAAGGCGGCACTAAACCACTGAGCCACCGGGGCTCCCCCAATCAACCCCCTGTAGGGCTCTGTGCTCAGCAGGGTCTGCTTGTCCCTCTCCCTGTGTCCCTCTGCCTAGCATGTGTGTACTTGGTGCTCCTTTCTCTCTCTTTCTTTTTTCTTTTTTTTCACATCCTCTCTCTTTCAAATAAATAAAATCTTTTTTTTTTTAAGATTTTATTTATTTGACAGAAAGAGAGAGAGAGAGAGAGAGAGAGAGGGCACAAGTAGGCAGAGCAAGAAGGAGAAGGAGAGGGAGAAGCAGGTCCTTTGCTGAGCAGATAGCCTGATGGGCTTGATCCCGGGACCCTGGGATCATGACCTGAGCTGAAGGCAGATGCTTAACCAATTGAGCCACCCAGATGCCCCTAAATAAATAAAATCTTAAAAAAAAAATAAAAGAAACTCATACTTTTGGTCCATGTGACTGGTGGTGGGGGTAGAAGTTCTGGGGAGTCCTCTCTTTAGTTACCTTTGGAAACCCTATAATCTCTGTTCTGATATTTATTTATTTATGATATTTTATTTATTCATGAAAGACACAGTGAGAGAGACAGAGACATAGGCAGAGGGAGAAGCAGACTCCCTGTGTAGAGCCTGGGCAGGACTTGATCCTAGGATCATGCCCTGAGCCAAAGGCAGATGCTCAAACCACTGAGCCACCCAGGCATCCCTCTGTTGTGATTTTTAGATCTCTTAGGTTTTTAGGTCTTAAGTCATAAGACAGTTTTCACAATTCGTGCTGTAGGAATTCCCTCTTTATGCCTAACCTGATTTTCTTCTTTTTTAAAATTTATTTATTAGAGAGAGAGGGAGTAGTGTGTGTATGCATGCTCATGTGAGTAGGTGGAGGGGCAGAGTGAAAATCTTTAATAAGACTCCCCACTGACCGTGGAGCCCCATGCAGGGCTCTCTCCCATGACCCTGAGATCATGACCTGAGCCCAAATCAAGAATCAGGTTGCTTAACCAACTGAGCCCCCCAGGCACCACTATAAAATAAAAAAAAAATTTTTTTTTAAAGATTTTATGTATTAACAGAGAGAGAGAGAGAGAGAAAGAATGCATAAGTCGGGGGAATAGCAGGCAGAGGGGGGAGGGAGAAGCAGACTCCCCACTGAGCTCCATCCTGGGACTCTGGGACCATGACCTGAGCCAAAGGCAGATGCTTAACCGACTGAGTCACCCAGGTGCCCCCGTAATTAAATTTTTAAAAATTGGTACAAAATATTACATTGACCTATACTATGATGTACCTGTCCCCTAAAGTTGGACATTAAATTGTTTTAAAAATTTTTATAAGTGATGCTATGTCTGTTCATATGTACACCCATGCATATGAATATAAATGAGTGTATCTATCTATCTATATATCTATCTATATATATATCTCCTATTAAATTTTTTTTCCAGGATAACTATCTAGGAGTTGAATTAGTAAATCAAGTATGGGGATGCCTGGGTGGCTCAGTGGTTGAACGTCTGCCTTCAGCTCAAGGCGTGATCCCGGAGTCTGGGATCAAGTCCCACATGGGGGTCCCTGCATGGAGCCTGTTACTTCTTCCTCTGCCTGTCTCTCTCTCTCTCTCTCTGTCTCTTGTGAATAAATAAATAAAATCTTGAAAAAAAAAAGGAGTATGTACATCTTGTGACTCCTGCTAGGTATTTTGTAGTCCTTTATATATATATAAATATATATATTCGTTGTTCTCCTCAGTTCTCTGACATAAATATTGGTGTTTTCTTTTTTTAAGACAAGAAAGTGAGCCAAGGAAGGTTTAAAAAAAACCCCAATGTTTCTTTCTTTTAAAAATTATTTCTTTTTTTCTCTTGGTTTTCATATGTTTTTTTCATCAACTTTTAACTTCATTTGGATTTTATTTGAGTCTGTGGATTTAAGTGTGCTATTGGGGACAGGGGTTGATAGAGGAATTTAATTTCAAAGGGCTTGCCAGAGTATGAAATGGATGTTTTTAAAACTTTATGCACGTTTTATTTATTTATTTAAATTTTATTTATTTAATTAATGAGAGTCACAGAATGAGAGAGAGAGAGGGGCAGAGACACAGGCAGGGAGCCCGATGTGGGACTTGATCCCGAGACTCCAGGATCATGCCCTGAGCCAAAGGCAGACGCTTAACCACTGAGCCACCCAGGCTTCCCTGCACGTATGTTTTACATCATAATATAGCCATGCTTGCTTGCTTTCTTTCTTTTGTTCTTTCTTTTTAGGATTTTATTTTTAAGTAATCTTTGCACCCAATGTAGGGCTTGAACTTACAACCTAGAGATCAAGAGTTGTGTGCTCTACCAATTGAGCCAGTTAGGCACCCCATTGCTTGCTTTCATTAATATGCTTGTTAAGTTATTGTAGGAAGTTACCTCATGTTTATTTTGTGGCTTTGTGTACCCTCTGGCCACTGCTACTGGCCAAGAGGTTGGAGAATCATTTGAGAAGGAGGAGTGTAATGTGTAGATTTAAATTTTTCCCTCAGGTTGATAATCAGCACTATCAGCTAGTCCTCCCTTTTCTAATTGTTTTTATAACCAGTTGCCTTGATTCTCAGGTACATGTTTTTCCTGTATTTTAAATGATATGGTTTGTGATTATGTATATATATGATGTAGTATTTCTTTTGTTCTGAAAGTCATTAATTCAGGGTACAACTGGAGATTAATGGTGTCTTAGAATTGAGGCCATAGGAGATTTAGTGGACAACCAGTTCCCTCAGATGTTTCTGGGGCATTTGGGAAGGAGACCTTTTGAGACATGTGGTCCCTTTTAGTTTGCCTACTGCGGAATCCCTCTCTTATTGCAGTCTATCTGGAGACCTATGGCTGCCAGATGAATGTGAATGACACAGAGATAGCCTGGTCTGTCTTACAGAAGAGTGGCTACTTGCGGACCAGGAACCTCCAAGAGGTACATGCATTTTCTCCTTCCATTGTTTTCTGGGCCTGGGTGAGACTTTTATTGTGCCAGTTTTTATTTTTTAAAAAGATTTTATTTGTTTATTCATGAGAGATACAGAGAGACAGAGACAAAGCAGAGAGAGAAGAAGGCTCCTCACAGGGAGCCCCGTGTGGGACTCAATCCCGGAACTCTGGGATCACGCCCTGAGCTGAAGGCAGATGCCCAACCACTGAGCCACCCAGGTGCTCTTGTGCCACTTTTTAGATACGACTTCAGAAATAGGGTATGGCCTGGTGAGAGTGAGTTCCCTTGAGTAAAGTGTGTAGCATAGAACTAAGGTATATTTTTGTTTCATTTATTTTTGAAACTTCTATGGTGGTGCTCACTTTTAGGCAAGGAACTAAGTTAAAAATGGGCTGTGAGGTGGAGGAGAATGGGGAATTAGTGTTTAATGGGTACAGAGTTTTAGTTGGGAGTTCCCCAGTGGTTCTGGAGCTTGGTGGTGGTGGTGATGGTGAATGTAGTTAATGTTACTGAACTATATACCTAAAAATGGTTAAAATGGTAAATTTTATGGTATGTATGTTTTACCACAGTAATTAAAAAAGGACAATGAGTAGTGATTCTATAAGGAGATTGCAAAGATTATAATTTTCCTTTTTTTCCCCTTGTTTTCCACTTAGGCTGATGTGATCCTCCTTGTCACATGTTCCATCAGGTAGGAGTTTGTTGTTTACTTAGAGAGTGAATATATTTTATGCCAGAGTTAACAGTGCCAGGCTGTGGAGATGAGTCAGTGGACTTGCAATTTTACTGCAGTGGAGATAGCATTGATAGAACTGGGTTAGCATTTGCTGAGAACGTACTGTGTACTAGGTCCTGTGCTGAGCATTGTACATGCACTAATTAATTCTCACAACAACCCTATGAAGTAAGTGCTGTTATCAAACCTGTTTTATAGATGAGGAAACTGAGAATATGCAGAGGCATCCAACTTTTCCTAAGGTTTCTCTTGCAGGTAATGGCACGTGTTTACGATACAATTCATATCATAAGGGTTAGGGTGCAGTCAGTGTAGAGATGGTGACATCCCTCAGAAGTGAACATACTGTTTCTTACTTTGTTTTTGTGTACAAGGTATTAGTGTTAATGTTTCCTTAGTATTACTATAATCCAACATTTTTGTTTGGAGTGTTTCTGCTATGAGATACTGAACTACATGGCTTTGGGAGATTCAGAAATGAATCCTTCCATGGAGCTTGGCTTTAAGGAGCTTAGTCTGATACAGGAACTAAGGCAGAGACACAGCATAGGTCTAACGTCTGGCAGAAAGCACTACGTAAAAAATGAAAGAGAAGTTGCTATAACTCTAGGAAAAAATATAGTTAAAGTGATAGGGCATTTGAAGAGTAGGCAAAACTCTGTGAGGTTTTGTGAAGTAGATTGTTTCTGAATTTGACTAAAAGGCTTGTCAGGTTTGAAGATATTCAGGAAGGGTGTCATTGTGGGAATGGTAAATTACAGCAAGTGATGCTTCTTCAGTTGGCTCCCTGCCTATCTTCCTTAACCTAAAAGATAGATTTTCATTTAAAAAGTTGAAGTTTGTTTTAATTTTGTTTCCATTGTCCTACTCTTTTAGCTTGTGCTATAGTTTATTTTCAGGTTCAGTTCTGCCTCTTTTGATTTTTGTAGGGAGAAGGCAGAGCAGACCATCTGGAATCGTTTACAACAGCTTAAAGCCCTGAAGACAAAACGGCTCCGCTCCCGAGTACCTCTGAGGATTGGGATTCTAGGTATCCGGTAATTTGCAGATTTTGTGTTTTGATACTTGGGAAACCCTTAGAGGCTGGATTCCTAGTGTTTGAAGAACTATTATACACCTCATGTAATTCTTGTGTTTGATGTCAGAGGCTGTAGGGTTAAATGAGGTAAAGCTCATAAAAGGGCTTTTCATAGTTCCTTGAAGTAATAGGTACTCAAAGTGGCCTATCCTTCCTAGAGTCTGATGTGGCTTATGGCAGCGTAGAGTTATGGATAGGAGAGGGTTTGGAATATGAAAGAGCAGCATGAATTTATAGCAGAGGCACCTTTCATCTTGACTCCTGATATATGCCCAAGTGAAGATCTAGATCTGCACTGACCAGTACGGTAGCCACTAGCCACGTGTGGTTATTTAACTTTAACTAAAATTAGGGACCCGTGGCTGGCTCAGTTGGTGGAGCATGTAACTCTTGATCTCAGGATTGTGAGTTGCTGTCCCATGTTGGGTATACAGATTATTAAAAAAAAAAAAAATCTTTGAGGACCTGGGTAGCTTAGTGGCTTAAGCATCTGCCTTCCGCTCAGGTCCTGATCCTCAGTTCCTGGGATCCAGCCCTGCTTCAGGCTCCCTGCTCAGCGGGGAGCCTACTTGTCCCTCTCCCTCTCCCTGCAGCTCTTCCTGCTCTTGCATGCTCTCTCTCTCTCTCTCTCTCTCTCTCCCTTAAATAAAATCTAAAAAAAAAAAAAAACAAAAAAAATAAGTAAAATAAAGTAATATTAAAAATTCACTTTTTCACTCTCACTAGCCACATATTGACTGCTCACTAGCCACACTTAATTAGTGGTTAGCAGTTTGGACAGCACAGATAAAGAACATTTCTATCATCTTAGAAAGTTCTCTAGTACAGCTCTGATGTGGATAATTGGGAAGCATATTTAAAAAATGAATAATCTGTACCCTCTTGGTCTCAGAATTTAGTTAATGTGTTTAACTTTAAAACAGACTGCCCATTGTGGAATAATTAAATTAATTTCTTTTGATGATGGGTCAAAACATAGTTGGAGCATATCCTATTATACAGATTAATGTACTAAGTGATGTAGAAGATTGGAAGGATTTGCTGAAATGTTTCATTTCAGTTCCTTCATTATAGAAGTCCCTGGTTATATCTTTGTTAGGAATTTCAGAAATCTCCTAGATACTTTGTTTTTTATTATGGTAAAATATATGTAAGATAAAATTCATCATTTGAACTGTTTTTTTCTTTTAAAGGTTTTATTTATTTATTTGGCAGAGAGATAGAGCCAGAGAGCACAAATGGGGGAAATGGAGAGGGAGAAGCAGGCTTTTTGCTGAGCAGAGAGCCCAGTGTGGGTTTTGATCTCAGGACTTGGAGATCATGACCTAAGCTGAAATTAGACGCTTAACTGACCGAGCCACTCAGGTGCCCCAAGACTTTGAAATTCTATAGCCCTACAAATAAACAATGGGTTTTTTAGGATACAGAAAATAGCAGCATACATAGTTAATTCATTTCTTAAAGGTTTTACTGAGCATTATGGGCAAAAAAAGGGATAAAAGATATAAGTGCAGTTGTATGTAAGTTTTATTTTTAAAAATAAGGTTTTGGAGTACCAAGTAAATTTCAGTTGAAAAACGAGATAATTAAAAAAAAAAAAAAAGAGATGGTTCATGTTTAGAAATGTTTTTTGGGGATGGTTTAATTTTTTCTGGGTATTTAATTGAATTTCTTTAGTTGCTTGCTTCCTGTGGTTTTCTTGTATAGGAAGATGCAGGTTCTAGTGCTATGAAGTATTGGGCAAATCTGAGGAGTGATGATGCTAATGCTAAACTCTTTGTGAAGTTTCTGTGCCTTTGTCTCTGATCATAGTTGGAGATATGTGTACTGAGAAGTAGCCATGAGAATAGATGAATTTGGAAACAGGTGCTCATTTTTTTTTTTCCTTTCCAGGCTGTATGGCTGAGAGATTGAAGGAGGAGATTCTCAACAGGGAGAAAATGGTGGATATTTTGGCAGGTCCAGATGCCTATCGGGACCTTCCTCGACTGCTGGCTGTTGCTGAGTCAGGCCAACAAGCTGCCAACGTGCTGCTCTCTCTGGATGAGACTTATGCTGATGTCATGCCAGTCCAGACAAGCCCTAGTGCTACTTCTGCTTTCGTGTGAGAACACCACCCAAGAGGCCGGGAGTGAACACCTCCTTTCTCTCTTTTATTTATTTATTTATTTTAGAGAGAGAGAGAAAAGAGAATGCATACACATGAGCTGGGGTTGGGAGTGGGAATAGGGAGGGGCAGAGAAAGAGTCTCAAGCATACTCCTCACAGATTGCAGAGCCCGATCTCAGAACCATAAGATCATGACCTGACCTAAAACCAAGAGTTGGATGTCCAACCGACTGTGCCACCCATGTGCTCCTCCTTTTTCATTTTTTTTAAAAGATTTTATTTATTTATTCATGAGAGAGAAAGAGAGAGAGAGAGAGACAGAGACACAGGCAGAGGGAGAAGCAGGCTTCATGCAGGGAGCCCTATGTGGGACTTGATCCAGGAACTCTAACATCATGCCCTGGGCCAAAGGCAGGTGCTAAATCGCTGAGCCACCCAAGGATCCTCTCCTTTCTCACTTTTGAAATAACGTTAAGGGTGCCAGTTGGTTAAGTGTCTGAGTTATTTATTTATTTATTTATTGATTGATTGATTGATTCATTCATTCATTCATGAGAGACACAGAGAGAGGCAGAGACATAGGCAGAGGGAGAAGCAGGCTCCCTGTAGGGAGCCTGATATGGGACTTGATCCCAGGACCCCAGGATCACACCCTGAGCCCAAAGCAGACACTCAACCACTGAGTCACCCAGGTATCCCAAGTGTCTGAGTCTTGATCTCGGATCAAGTCTTGATCTCAGGGTCATGAGTTTAAGCCCTGTGTTTGGCTCTCTGCCGGGTGTGGAGTCTATTTACAAAAAAAAAAAGCGCTAATTTTGCTGTGTTAAAAAAATTAACACATGCATATAGTACAAACATAAAAAACTAAAAAATGATGAAGTCAGACTCCCTCACCTGTCATACCAGTCTCTCAGAGATAGCCTTGTTAGTAATTTTTTGTATTATTCTTTCAGAAGTATTCTTTGCATATCCATTCATAAACATGATATGGGGTCTTTCTTACCCTTCTTTGTATATACTCTTAATTTTTTACTTAAAAAATATTGTCAGCTTTCCTATTCCTTTTTTTTTCTTCTTGAACTTTAACTGGAACTTTAGTAAATTCTAGTGACAAGAGTTCATATTTGTTGAAGAATATGTGGAAAAGATAGAAAAAACATGAAGAAAGTCAGAATCATCTATTCCAAACACCTAATGATGAACAGTTATCATTTTGTAATATTATTTCTGTATATGCTTTATATCTGCATTTATTTGTAAAAATTGGCTCTTGATTTACTTGGAATTTTTAATTTTAAATTTTTAATTATTTTTTTAAAAGATTTATTTATTTATTAGAGGGGGTTGGGGAGCACAGTGGGGAGGAGTGGATGAAGAGAGGAGAGGGAATCCTAAGCGGAGTCTGATGGGCTTGATCCCAGGGCTGTGAGATCCCAGGACCGGAGCTGAAACCAAGACTCTAATGCTTAACAGACTATGCTACCCAGGCATCCCAATTTACTTGGTTTTATAACCTTATTATAAATGGTGAACATTTCTCATGGCATTAAATTTTCTATAACAGAGTTTGGCAAATTGGCAAAAAAAATTACAGCCTGTTTTTTGTAAATACAGTTCTGTTGAAATATAGCCATGCTCATTTGTTTATATGTTACCCATGGCTGCTTTTGCTACTATAATAGCAATTGACTAGGGACAGGGACTGTATGGTCTGCAAAGCCCAAGATATTTACTGATTGTTTTTTATTTAATTTAATCTAATCTAATTTTAATTAATTAATTAATTTTCTGTTTATTTATAGAAAGTTTGCCAACCTCTGTCATTTTAATGGCATACTCCATTGTTGGAATGCTTAATGAAAATAATAACTAACATTTATCTAACAGTTCTTCAGTGAACATCTTTGATACATATTCATAATTATTTCCTTAACATAATTTGAGGCTTTCAAATACAGGATGCAAATGGAAGAAAGAGAGTGATTTAATTTATATACCATAATAATCGGATTAGGAATGAGTGAGAAATATGGAACCCTCTGTCTTTTTTTTTTTTTTAAGATTTTATTTTATTCATTTATGAGAGACTGAGAGAGAGAGAGAGAGAGAGAGAGAGAGAGAGAGAGGCAGGCAGAGGGAAAAGCAGGCTCCATGCAGAGAGTCTGACGTGGGACTCGATCCTGGGCCTCCAGGATCAGGTCCTGGGCTGAAGGCAGCGCTAAACCGCTGAGCCACCTGGGCTGCCCTTTTTTTTTTTTTTTAAGATTTTATTTATTTATTCATGAGAGACACTGAGAGTGAGACAGAGACATAGGCAGAGGGAGAAGCAGGGTCCTTGCAGGGAGCCTGTTGTGGGACTGTTGTGGGACTCCATCCCTGGACCTCAGGATCCACGCCCTGAGGTGTCCCAGAACCCTCTGTCTCAAATCTGAGGTTTCTTTTTATTATACACATTCTATATTTTTTTTCTGCTCTAGATGAAAAAAGTTCAAACAGTATATTTATATTTTATATTGATGGGATACAGATATGCCAGAAGTAGTATATCTGCACTCTGTTTTTCTCACCACTGTGCTCCCTCTGGGTAACTGCTATATCCACCAATTATGATGTGGTTTCTATCTTGTGATCAGAGTCTAGTTTTTTTTTTTTTTTTTTTTTAAATATTTTATTTATTTATTCATGAGAGACACACAGAAAGAGAGGCAGAGACACAGGCAGAAGGAGAAGCAGGCTCCATGCAAGGAACCTGATGTGGGACTTGATCCCGGGTCTCCAGGATCATGCCCAGCCAAAGGCAGTGCTAAACCACTAAGCCACCAGGGCTGCCCTTGTTTTTTTTTTTTTAAAGATTTTATTTATTTATTCATGAGAGAGACAGAGAGGCAGAGATACAGGCAGAGGGAGAAGCAAGCTCCGTGCAGGAAGCCCGACGGCCTCAATCCTAGGACCCCAGGATCATGCCCTGGGCCGAAGGCAGACCCTTAACTGCTGAGCCACCCAGGCATCCCCAGATTCTGGTTCTTAAAGAAAAAAAAAAGTCTGCCTTTAAAATGCCTCAGATTGGTCCAGTCTGAATGTGGTGCCAAGAGGATTCAGAGCCAAAGGATAATGCCAAGGTAGCTGTGTCCTGCTCCTTGAGGAGGAGTAAGGCTCCGGTTACTTCTGTTACTAAGTTTTGATGCTTTTCTTCCTAGGTCTATTATGCGAGGCTGTGACAACATGTGCAGCTACTGCATTGTTCCTTTCACACGTGGCCGGGAGAGGAGTCGACCTGTTGCTTCCATTCTAGAGGAAGTGAGGAAGCTTTCAGAACAGGTGAAAAGTTCTCCAGGCTTTGTCTTACAAGTGTGTTTTAGGAGGATGAGGACAACCTTTCTAGTTTTGCTGCGTGTGCTATCTTTGAGCTGTAAATTTTAGAACCCATATCTGGCCAGAAAGAAATACCTGGGTAAATATCTGATTTGCTGCTCATAAATTATAGGCAGATCTATGTGAAGTTTGCTGAGGAGGCAGCACAGTGGAATGGAAAGAGCATGAGTTTAGAATCAGATGATTGTCAATCCTGGCTGTAGCATCCTCTGGTTTGGTGCCTTGGTCATTTAACTATCTTCTTTGAAACATAGTTTGCCAATCTATGAAAAGAAGATAGAATAGTAACTTCCTTTCTGGGTTATTGGGTGGATTGTTGTAGTTTAAATTTTTTTTTTTTACAGTAATCTCCACATCCCACATGGGGCTCAAACTCAATGCTGTACTGAGTAAGCCAGCTAGATGCCCCCGTAGTTTAAAAATTTTTTTTTTGAGCTTTTATATTTGAGTTTATTCTTCATTTAACTTTTAAAACACTACTATAGTTGAATATTAAAACAAAAACAATAGCAAGTAGTGAGCTATGATTATAGTCCTTCACTCATCCACTACTGCATATAAAATGCCAGCAGCAGTGTTATTCACCGGCCCCATTAAGAAGTCTGACACTGAACACCACCCCTAGGATGATGTTCATCATCCTCATATGCTTCCCCATTGTAATGGCGCCGTCTCTCCTGATTGGGATCAAAGTCCACAAGTTCTACCTGGTCCATTTCATCAGTCTCTTCTACTTCCTTCCTCTCAGGTAGGAGTTTTTCCAGCAAAGAAAGTTTATCAGGAGAGAGAAAGCCGTTCTCGGGGAAGTTTACCTTAAATTCGATGATTAGGCGACCCTTCTCATATGGTCTACGATAAATTGGCATGCCTTCATTTAGCACACACTTGATATCCCCATGCTTGACAATCTGACCTGGATGAGAGGTGATGACGATGGTTCGGTTGTCAAGAGTAGATATTGGCTTTTGAAAGCCACACAGGGCTTCAGCCAGCTGTATATCCATACACATGAAAAGATCTTCTCCTCGTTGAGTAAAAACAGCATGGTCCTTCTGATCTAAAACAATGATAATATCTCCTGGTTCCAGTCCTGGTTCTTGGTCTCCCTCACCATGGAATGTTATCTTCTGGCCATCTTTCATGCCTTTGTCAATATGCACTTCTAGAATCTTCTTCTCTCGAACTATCTTCCTTCCGTTGCAGCTTTTACATCTATCTTTAGGACTGATCCGTTCCCCATGGCCCTGGCACTCCATGCACACAGACTGAATTTGCTGAACCATTCCAGGTCCTATCTGATGAATTCTTATTTGCATTCCAGTACCTCGGCAATTGGGACAACATTCGACTGCTCCTTTCTTACCACCTCGGCCTTCACATTTATCGCAAATCACATTCTTTTGCAGAGCTAGTTTTCTTGTTGCGCCATTATATAGATCTTCTAAGGTTACTGAGAGCTGATGTACAACATTTTTACCTCTCCGTTCTCTCTGCATCCTGCCTCCTCCTCCAAAAAACATATCAAAGATGTCCATGGGGGAGCCAAAACCACCACCAGCTCCACCTTCTTTAATTGCCTGTTCTCCTCTGTCATATAATTCCCTTTTCTTTGCATCAGAGAGCACTTCATAAGCTTGAGAAATCTGTTTAAACTTCTCTCCTTCATTTGGATTCTTATCAGGGTGGTACTTCAAGGCCAGTTTTCTGTAAGCCTTTTTCAGTTCCTCCTGGGTGGCATTGGGTTTGACCCCCAAAACATCATAGTAAGTGGTTTCTTTCACCATTTTCTACAGCCGGTGAGAGGGCCGAAGCCGGTGTGGGGGAGCGGGAAGGAGCGCGTTGCTGGGCGCAGCTCGGGCAGCCGCCGCTCCTCCGGGTCTCACCGAGCGTTCTGGAAAGTTCCCTAAAAAATTTTTTTAAAAAGATTTATTTCTTTTTAGAGAACACGCATGAACAGGGGGAGGAGCAGAGGGAGAGGGAGAAAGAGACTCACAAGCAGGCTTTGTGCTGAGTTGGGAGCCCAACATGGGGCTTGATCCCTGAGATCATGACCTGAGCTGAAACCAAGAGTTGGGCACTCACTTGACTGAGCCACCAAGGCCCCCCACAAGTGATGCTGGGTTTTTTTTTTTTTTTTCAGATTTATTATTTATTTTAGAGAGAGTTGGGGAAGGGGCAGAGGGAGAGGGGAAGGGAGAGAATCTCAGACTTCCCACTGAGCATAGACCCCACCATGGGAATTGATCTCAGGATCAATTGAGTTGGCCCCTCAACTGATTGAGCCACCCAGGGTTCCATCCCTAAATGTTTTTAAGCTCCCTGGCACATAGTAAATTTTCAGAGAATGATTTATTTTAGGGAGACTTCCCAAATATCTTGTTCATTTTATCACAGAGCAAGCTCACTAGATGAGGGACAGAGAATAGATGAGGGTAGCAAATCCCATCAGAGGCTAGAGGGGAGATAATTGCTATTTTCTTCCTATTGGGAGCTGGTCCATGCTAACTCTAGGCGTGGATCCTCTAGCCCTGAGAAGGAGGACCGTAGGTGGGAATATGAAGCTTTTCTTCCACTAGAGTTTCCTGTTTCCTTACTTGCTTGGCTCAGGAACTGTGGGAGGCTAGCCCCTGCTCCAGTTTTCAGTCAGTAATTTGTCTTTGTTCTTACACTATGGCAGTGCTCTCTTCTCATCTCCCGTTCCTCAATTTTTAGTTCCCTGATTTGGTCCCTGGTTGCTCACAGGCACTGTGAGGTATTTTCCATACCCTACCTCTTCAAGTGCTTCCTGGTCTCAAGTTGTCTCCTCCTCCTCTTCCAACTCCACAGTACCAGAACTTACTCTTCAAGAGAGAGATGTTCTGTTTAAATAGATTGAGGTGGTGACAGAAACTACCTAACCTTTCTAGGGTATTTGCATATAAAAGAAGGAACTTAATAACATTAAGGTGAAGTTTGATGAATTCAAAGCTACTGATATATGAAGAATTAAGATTCTGCATTGGGTTTTAAAGTATCTGTTTAATTATTTTGCCTAAGGATGATTTCTTAAAAGATTTTTTCTTTAATTTAGATTTTTAGACAACAGTTGCAAAGAGAATAGAATAATATTCCTTTAAAGGAATGGTGTTTATTTAAATCATGGTTATTGACTGGAAGTCATCAGTAAGCAGCCTCCTTTTAAAGTTTATTTATTTATCTATCTGTCTATATCTATCTATCTATCTATCTATCTATCTATCTATCTATCTATTTAAAGATTTTATTTATTTATTCATGATAGACATAGAGAGAGAGAGGGGCAGAGACACAGGCAGAGGGAGAAGCAGGCTCTATGCCGGGAGCCCGACTAGGGACTCGATCCCGGGACTCCAGGATCGCACCCTGGGCCAAAGGCAGGCGTTAAACCGCTGAGCCATCCAGGGATCCCCGAAGTTTCTTTTTTACATGAAAAAAATTTAAATGCACAGAAAAGAGAGAATTGCATAATGACCCCCTCTTCCCCAGGTAACAGTCACTTAAATTTAATAATGATTGGGGCTCCTGGGTAGTTCGGATGGTTTTCAATAATTTAATGATTACCTTTTGTCATATTTGCTTTATTTTTTATTGTTGATAAAGTGTTTCAGCATATTTCACCCTTGAGTAATTAAGCATTACAAAATAAGGTTATTTTGTTATTTTTTTTAAAGATTTTATTGTATTTTAAAGATTTTATTTATTTATTTTAGCAGAGATAGCTCGAGCTGGGGGAGAGGCAGGGTGGGGGGGGGGAGAGAGAGAGAAAGAAAACAAATCCCCAGCAGTCTCCACACTCAGATTAGAGCCCAATGTGGTGCTTGATCCCACAACCCTGAGATCATGACCTGACCTGAAATGAGGAGTTGGACATTTAACCGACTGAACCACCAAGGTGCCCAAAGACTTCATTTTTTTGAGTAATCCCTACACCCAATGTGGGGCTGGAACCACAAGATCAAGTGTCGCATGCTTTATCCACTGAGGCACCCAGGCACCCCTAAAATTATTTTCAATACTGTTAATTCTAACATATTTAAGTAAATTTGCTAAATATCAATCATCTCATCTCATCCTAGTCTACCCATATTCAAATTGCCCCACAACTCTTTCTACATTTGGCTGTTAATGTTTTTTTTATACGTATATGTAGTTTCTTTCTTTTTTTTTTTAATAATAAACTTGTTTAGTTACCTCTAATGTTAACATTGATGTAACTTTGGTATGTTTGTCAAAACTAAAAGGTTAATATTGATACATTACCATTAACTAACTTCAGACTTCATTCTGATTTTGCCAGTTTTCTTTTCTTTTTTTTTTTTTTAAGATTTTTATTTATTTATTCATGAGAGACAGAGAGAGGCAGAGACATAGGCAGAGGGAGAAGCAGGTTCCACACAGGGAGCCTGATGCGGGACTTGATCCCAGAACACCAGGATCACGTCCTGAGCCAAAGGCAGATGCTAGACTGCTGAGCCACCCAGGCGCCCCAATGATTTTGCCAGTATTCAACTAATAACCTTTTTTTGAGGATCCAATCCAGGATCCACATCATATTTAAAAAATTTTGTTATTCTGGGGCGCCTGGGTGGCTCAAGTGGTTAAGCATCTGCCTTCAGCTCAGGTCATGATCCCAGGGTCCTGGGATCAAGCCCCGCATCAGCTCCCTGCTCAGAGGGGAGTCTGCTTCTCCCTCTCCCTCTGCCCATCCCCCCACCACCTTGTTCATGCTTGCTCTGTCACTCTCTCAAATAAGTAAAATATTTATTTATTTTATTTTATTATTATTTATTTTTATTTTTATTTATTTATGATAGTCTCACACAGAGAGAGAGGCAGAGACACAGGCAGAGGGAGAAGCAGGCTCCATCCACCGGGAGCCTGATGTGGGACTCGATCCCGGGTCTCCAGGATCGCACCTTGGGCCAAAGGCAGGCACTAAACTGCTGTACCACCCAGGGATCCCTAAATAAAATCTTTAAAAAATTTTTTTGTTATTCTTATTTTTTATTTAAAGATTTTATTTAATCACTCATAATAGAGAGAGAGAGAGGCAGAGACACAGGCAGAGGGAGAAGCAGGCTCCACGCTGGGTACCTGAAGTGGGACTCTATCCCGGGTCTCCAGGATCAGGCCCTGGGCTGAAGGTGGTGCCAAACCGCTGAGCCACCAGGGCTGCCCTTATTTTTCAATTTTTTAAAAGATTTTATTTATATGACGGAGAGTAGGAGGAGTGACAGGCAGAGGGAGAAGGAGAAGTAGGCTCTCTACTGAGCAGGAAGCCCAAAGCTGGGCTCAATTCCAGGGCCCTGGAATCAAGACCTGAGCCAAAGGCAGACACTTAACCAACTGAGCCACCCAGGAACCCCACTTTTTTTTTTAAAGGTTTATTTATTCACTTGAGAGAGTGAGACATTGAGTTGGGGGAGGGACAGAGGGAGAGAATCTTCAAGCAGACTCCTCACTAAGTGTGGAGCCCTACATGAAGCTCAATCCCATGACCCGTGAGATCACAACCTGAGCCAAAACCAAGAGCCAGACAACTGATGAGCCACCCAGGAGCCCCTATCCTGTTTTTTTAGATTAGCAATATGTCATACCTTGTAATAATTCCTAGTCTTTATGGAGACTAGAGTCATGACAATTAAATGCATTGCATAATGGTCCTAGAGTAGAGTTCTGATTAGGAAAAAATAGGGTTTTTAAAAAACCAAAAACATACTTTTATGTAGTTGTGGTCTCATAGTTTAACAGTTTTGTATCGTTTTTAATAGTGTGAGCATTTTCCTATGTCACTAACAGCTTTTAGCTTTATTTTTCGTAGGATTACTTATAGGATAATAGCTTTCAAATTGCTTTCGGTTCTTCTATTAAAATAGTGCTGTGTAGAAGTCCTCTCTATGCAATTATTTTTGTCCATCTTGATGATTATATCTATAGGATAAATTCCTAGTCATGCCATTATTAAATAAATATTATTATTATTATTATTATTATTATTATTATTTTTAAAGATTTTATTTATTCATGAGAGACACAGAGGCAGAGAGAGAGAAGCAGAGACACAGGCAGAGGGAGAAGCAGGCTCCATGCAGGGACCCTGATGTGGGACTCGATCCCAGGTCTCCAGGATCATGCCCTGGGCTGAAGGCGGTGCTAAACCACTGGGCCACCCAGGCTGCCCTTAAATAAAGATAAAGCAAAGTTATAAAGAACATTACCTGGACATTATTTTGGTAAAAATTTGATTTATGGTATGTGGATTCCTAGTCTTTATAGCAACCATTTTTTACTTACTGAAATTTTATAATGCGAATTTTCAAAAATAGATAAGTTGAAAGACTAGTATGGTAAGCATATTTAATAACATTTTTGTCATATAACACTTTTATTTTATCAGCCTATCTCTATAGATGTATAAATATATTTTTTCTGAAACATTTGAAAGTGAGTTTTAGATATCAGGCTACTTAACACTGGATATTTCGGTATGTATCTTTTTTTTTTTTTTTAATTTTTATTTATTTATGATAGTCACACACACACAGAGAGAGAGGCAGAGACACAGGCAGAGGGAGAAGCGGGCTCCATGCACCGGGAGCCCGACGTGGGATTCGATCCTGGGTCTCCAGGATCGCGCCCTGGGCCAAAGGCAGGCGCCAAACCGCTGCGCCACCCAGGGATCCCTCGGTATGTATCTTAAAGAGTTTTTCCTTTCGTAACTATAATACCAATACCACATGTAGGAAATTTAACAACTAGTATTATATACTATGTAACTCATATTCAAAATTTCTTTAAAAAAAAATAAAAAAAATTCTTTTTTTTAAAGTTTGTTTTTAAGTAATCTCTATACCCAACATGGGGGTTAAACTCACTCTGAGATCCAGAGTTCTATGCTCTACCCACTGAGCCAGCCAGGTGTCCCTCAAAATTTCTTAATTGTTCAAAGATATCTTATTGCTATTCTATTTTCAAACCAAGATCCAATTAAGATTTGTGGTTTTACTTGGTTTTTATATTTCTTCAATTCCTCTTTTTTTTTTTTAATTTTATTTATTTACTTGAGAGAGACAGCAAGCACATGAGGGAAGGAGAGAGGGGGCAGAGGGAGAGGGAGAAGCAGGCTCCACTGAACAAGGAGCCCGATGTGGGACTTGATCCCAGGACCCTGGGGTTGTGACTTGAGCCAAGGGCAGACATTTAACCGACTGAGTCCCCCAGGCCCTCTTCTTCAATTCCTCTTAATTTAAAACAGCCCTCTCACTTTTTTGTTGTTTGCTTTAAATGATACGTTAAGAGATCAGATATGTCTGGATTTGATTGCTTCTTCATTTGTCATTAAAAATATTCCTCTGGGGGGAAAAATACTCCTCTGAATTCTGGTAAACTGTAAGTTAGGTGTAGAAACTTGATTTCTACAAGGCTAAATATTTATTTTGGAAAGAATAGGCAATAATCATGTAATATTCAACTGGCATAATACTGTCATAATTTGGTTCATGGTATTATAGATTAGCATCATTGAACATCGAGTTTGTATCCAGTTTTTTGCTACTCTAAAAAATCCTTTGACGGCAATTTTTTTTTTTTTTTAAGATTCAATTTATTTATTCATGAGAGACACAGAGAGAGGCAGAGACACAGGCAGAGGGAGAAGCAGGCTCCATGCAGGGAGCCCTGGGCTGAAGGCAGACGCTCAACCACTGAGCCATCCCGGTGTCCTGGTAATTTTTATTTGAGGTTTTATTCTAAAGTTCAGTTCTTCGGCCAAGATGCCCAAATGTGAAATTATTGGGTTAAAGATAGAAGAGGATATATTTATGGATGGCTCTTGGTAGATTCAACTAATTCCAAGTAGTGATTTGGCATGAAACTATCAAAAAAGTTTTAAATTGCTTCCAATGTATATTTTCTCTTTCTTAGGGACTGAAAGAAGTGACACTTCTTGGTCAGAATGTTAATAGTTTTCAGGACAGTTCAGAGGTCCAGTTCAACAATGCAGTATCTACTAACCTTAGCCGTGGCTTTTCTACCAACTATAAACCCAAGAAAGGGGGCCTTCGCTTCGCTTACCTTCTGGATCAGGTCTCCAGAGTAGATCCTGAAATGAGGATCCGTTTCACCTCTCCCCACCCCAAAGACTTTCCTGATGAGGTGAGTATCGACAGTGTACTGTGCCAAGCTCTTCTCAGTATCCTTAAGCATACCAAAGGCTGGACCCAGTGGAAGGCAGCAGTCCTTGAATCTCACTCAGAGAATCTTGTGGTGTATTGCTGTATTGCCCTTTAATTCCACCAAAGATTTAAAGTCCACCCAGGTAGGGCAGAGATAGGGCTGATATATATATATATTTTTTAAATTTTTTTTAAATTTTTATTTGTTTATGATAGTCACAGAGAGAGAGAGAGAGAGAGAGGGAGGCAGAGACGCAGGCAGAGGGAGAAGCAGGCTTCATGCACCGGGAGCCCGATGTGGGATTCGATCCCGGGTCTCCAGGATCGCGCCCTGGGCCAAAGGCAGGCGCCAAACCGCTGCGCCACCCAGGGATCCCTGATATATTTTTTAAAATTTGTCTTCAAGGTCATTAAGGTCAGATTCTCATCTTCTGATCTATAAAATGGAGTTAATAATTATCTCCTATTTTGGGTTGTTGGGAAATAGGTAAAAAGTATGGAAGGTACTTTATCAAAGTGCCTTAGCAATGTGTAGAGTGTCTAGCCTACATATGAAAACTTTTTGTTTTTTCGATTTTTGTTTTGGTGAAATATCTGTCTTTTGGCCCCACCCCTACCTTTTCGCCACTGGATTGCCTTCTTATTGAGTTCTAAAGGTTCTTTATGCATTCTTTTCTTTTCTTTTTTAAAAAATTTTATTCATGAGAGAGGAAGAGACACAGGCAGAGGGAGAAGCATGCTCCCTGTGGGGAGCCTCTTACGTCCCAAGACCGTGGGATCCTGCCCTGAGCCAAAGGCAGATGCTAAACCACTGAGCCACCCAGGTGTCCCTCTTTATGTATTCTTGATATAAATCTTTTGTCAGCATATTTTTTAAGTCTTTTTTTAGCAATTCGTTTCTTTTTCTAAAATATTTTACTTTTTAAAGATTCATTTATTTATTTTAGAGAGCATGCAAACAAAGGGCAGGGGGAAGGACAGAGGGAGAGAGAGAAAGAGAATTTCAAGCAGACTTCCTGATGACTGCAGAGCCTGATGCGGGACTTGACCCCAGGACCCTGAGATCATGACCTGAACGGAAATCAAGAGTTAGATGCCAGGATCCTTGGGTGGCGCAGCGGTTTAGCGCCTGCCTTTGGCCCAGGGCGCGATCCTGGAGACCCGGGATCGAGTCCCACGTCGGGCTCCCGGTGCATGGAGCCTGCTTCTCCCTCTGCCTATGTCTCTGCCTCTCTCTCTCTCTGTGTGTGACTATCATAAATAAATAAAAATTAAAAAAAAAAAAAGAGTTGGATGCGTAACCGACTTAACCTCCTAGGCGCCCCTTAAGGATTTTATTTTTACATAATCTCCACACCTAGTATGGGGCTTGAACACAACCCTGAGATCAAGAGTTGCACATTCCATCAATTGAGCCAACCAGGTGCCCCGTCTAGTTCGTTTCTTGATGATGTCTTTTTTTTTTTTTTTAAAGATTTAAAAAATTTACTTATTCACGAGAGACAGAGGGAGAGAGTGAGAGAGAGTGAGAGAGAGAGAGGCAGAGACACAGAGAAGTAGGCTCCATGCAGGGAGCCCAATGGAGGACTCAATCCCGGAACTCCAGGATCAGGCCCTGGGCTGAAGGTGGCACTAAACTGCTGAGCCACCCGGGCTGCCCTTAATAGTGTCTTTTTAAAAAAAAAATTTTTTTTTAAGATTTTATTTATTCATTCATGAGAGACACAGAGAGAGAGAGAGGCAGAGACACAGGCAGAGGGAGAAGCAGGCTCCATGCAGGGAGCCTGATGTGGGACTCGATCCCGGGACTCCAGGTTCAGGCCCTGGGCTGAAGGCGGCGCTGAACCGCTGAGCCACCCGGGCTGCCCGATAGTGTCTTTTAAAGTGGCTAATTAGTTTGAAAGTTAGATGAAACAAATACCATTTTTCCTTTCTTGTCTGTGTCAGCCCATGGCTTGAATCTGAGCTCCGCTTGCTTTCTTTACTCTTTAACAGAGATGCCATCAATGAAATGTCTGGGACAGACAGCATTGCTTGAGCAAAAGTAAAGGATTTGGGTAATTCATAGGTTTGATTTAATTGGCCAGTTAATTACTTGAAAATTAACCTTGGTAGAGAAACAGTGGACATGGCATTCGTTTCTGCAGGATTCTTTGGTGAGACTCTGATGATGTGTAATACGTTTTGTCTGATTAGGTTCTACAGCTGATTCATGAGAGAGACAACATCTGTAAACAGATCCACCTACCAGCCCAGAGTGGAAGCAGCCGTGTATTGGAGACCATGAGGAGGGGGTCAGACTTGCTTGGGGAGGGGGCTTCCTGTACCTCTCCATGTTTTCTTATGGAACACACAATGTCTAAGAATGTAGTAGAGTGTGTGGCACATGGTAGCTGCTCAATAAATATCTGTTCAAGGAATAAACTCATGGACATTATAAGCTTGCTTCTGTTTACTCCATAAGTAATAGACTAAGGACTGAATCATTCATGTCATTTGTTTAGTATGTTCTTTTTTTTTTTTTTTTGTAAGATTTATTTATTTATTTTAGAGAGAGGGCACGTGAGAGGGGGCAGAGTCTTAAGCAGACTGTGCACTGAGCACAGAGCCAGACACGGAGCTTGATCTCATGACCTCGAGATCGCTACTTGATCCAAAACCAAGTCAGATGCTCAACTGACTGTGCTACTCAGGTGCCTATAGCATGTTTTTCTATTAATTATTTACTATGTGGCATACTCTTTTTGAAACTGGAATCTTGCAGCTTCTAACATTAAAGTTTTTTAAGTCTTGGAATTTAAACATATCTTTGTGTGTTCACTTACTTCAGGACTAACATGTATTGCAGAGATAAGACTGAAGGGGTAAGATAACAAATGGCAAGCTGTATGGAACTAGTGCTTTGCCTTGTTTTCCATATTGGCAATTTTAGAGATCCTCTTAAGTGTTTAATCTGTTCTTTCTAAATAAAAAGGGCTACTTACCTATTTACTTATTTTTTTTTAAGATTTATTTATTTATTTGAGAGAAAGCTTGAGTGGGAGGGGCAGTAAGAGAAGGACAGAGAATCTCCAGCAGACTCCTTGTTGAGTGTAGAGCCTGGCATGGGGCTTGATCTCAAGAGCTGAGAGTCTTGGGATGCCTGGGTAGCTCAGCGGTTGAGCGTCTGCCTTGACTCAGGGCATGATCCCGGAGTCCCAGGATCGAGTCCCACATCGGGATCCCTGCATGGAGCTTGCTTTTCCCTCTGCTTATATCTCTGCCTCTCTCTGTGTCTCTCATGAATAAATAAATAAAAATCTTTTTTTAAAAAAGAGCCTATTATTTAACCTGTGCCACTCAGGTGCCCCCTATTTGTTTTTAAAAAGGCTATTTAAAGTAATGTATGTTCTTGAACTAAAGATTCATGGGCTGTAGATTAGGATACACTACAGGATTTGGATCCAAAGGGCTCTTTTGGATACATTAACCTACTTTTGTACTATCTTGTGTGGATGAGGAGGGGTTGGTTATATGTGGTAATTCATAGTAGTATCTTTTACTTTTTTTATTTTTTTATTTTTTTCTTTCATAGTAGTATCTGTTAAAGAAGACTAATTCATCTAAGCATTTTCTTTTTTTGTTCTTTATTGCAGATATTCAAGAGAAGCTTATGTGGAGTTAATTCATCATATTAGAGAATCTATTCCAGGTATATTTAAGAAATGTATTCTTTTGAGCACATCATTCTACCAGTGACCACAGTGTTTTTATCAGATACAGGCAACGCCTATGATACTACCTTATGATACTCTTTATGCTTCTTTTGCTCTTCTTTATTTTCCTCTTCTTATTTTACTCCTTTCTGGTTTTTAATGTCTTGCTAGATATTCACAAAGGTGTGGATCAGCTTGTGGCCTCAAGGCTAAAGAGATGTCTTTTCTATAGTCTTTGTGTTTCTGAACTTATGGGACAGACCTCGTTCCTTCTTGTTAGCTGGCAAAGTTAATTTGGTCTAAATTAGTTGAGGGCAATTGATATCTTTAAAAATGTGTACTTAGCAGTAATTGCTTTCCTATTATCTTAACTCTTACTCCTTTTTCTCTTTTCCCTTCCGCCTAATAAAATTAACTTTGTAGTCTTTTATTTATTTATTTTTTTTTAATTTTTTTTTAGTTTATTTATGATAGTCACAGAGAGAGAGAGAGAGAGAGAGAGAGAGAGGCAGAGACACACAGGCAGAGGGAGAAGCAGGCTCCATGTACCGGGAGCCCGACGTGGGATTCGATCCCGGGTCTCCAGGATCGCGCCCTGGGCCAAAGGCAGGCGCTAAACCACTGCGCCACCCAGGGATCCCAACTTTGTAGTCTTTTAATTTAGATTTGGTTGACAACGTCTACATTTGTTTCCAAATTTCTTTTTTTTTTTTTGTAAAGGATTTTTATTTATGTTCATGAGAGACACACAGAGAGGCAGAGACAGGCAGAGGAAGAAGCAGGCTCCCTGTGGAGAGCTGGATTTAGGACTCGATCCCAGGACTCCGGGATCACAACCTGAGCCAAAGGCAGACACTCAACCACTGAGCCACCCAGGTGCCCCCTTTTTTAAGATTTTATTTAAAAAATTTATAAAAGATTTGCTTTATAAAGACTTATTTATTTATTAGAGAGAGAGAGTGCACATGCCAGGAAAGGAACAGAGGGAGAGGGAGAGAAGCAGGCTTCTTACTCAATGTGGAGCACCACACAAGGCTCTATCATAACCCTGAGATCATGACCTAAACCTAAACCAAGAGTCCAACACTTAACTGACTAAGCCACAAAAGTAAGGGTACTCAGTTGGTTAAGCTTCCAATTCTTGGTTTCAGCTTAAGTCATGATCTCAGGGTCATGAGGTCACACTCTCTGAATGCAGAGTCTGCTTGAGATTCTCTTCCTTTCTCTCTGCCCCTCTCCTGCTTGTATGCATGCTTTCTCTCTCTAAAATAAATAAATCTTAAAAAAAAAAGAGCAAAGGGGGCATGTGGGTGGCTTGGTCGGTTGAGCTCAGGTATGATCTTAGGGTCCTGGAATAATCAAGCCCTGCATCTGGCTCTTCACCCAGCATGGAGTCTGCTTGTTCTTCTCCCTCTGCTTCTCTTCCTGCTGTCTCAAATGAAAAAATAAAATTTTAGAAAAAAAAGTATATGTTTTTATGAGGTACTGCAAGGTTTTTACCAGTAAAAGAAAGACCAGTTTGAAAATGTGGACTCCTGCTGTGTCTCTAAATCCAATATTTGAAGTAAAAATGCCTTTTCTGTTGCTGAGGAGAATATAGACTGAGAAGCCAGGCTCTGGCGTGGGAACATGCTAGGTAAGCAGGCCTATCCCATCTTGCTCTATAATGACTATTCTGTTTCACTTGCACATGGGCTTAGCAGCTCTAGGAAAGGTTTGCAATTGCTTTTCATCCCTTTGTAACCCACAAGTGCCAAAGGCTTCTCTCCGTGATAAGCAGCAGTGACATGTTGTCATTTGTCACGTGTTGCAGGTGTGAGCCTCAGCAGCGATTTCATTGCTGGCTTTTGTGGTGAGACAGAGGAAGATCACCTCCAGACAGTGTCTTTGCTTCGGGAAGTTCAGTACAACATGGGCTTCCTTTTTGCTTACAGTATGAGACAGGTAAGCCCTGGAATGGAGGAGAAGCTACTTCTGTACTGACACTGACATAATTACTGACCAGTTTCTGGTTGCTTGTAGACACTGGGAAGAAAAAACAATGGCAGTGAGGCAGTCCTTGAGAAGCCATTAGGATCTTATTTACCACTCATTTCTTTATTTTTTCTAGTCAACCTGTCTACTATTTTATCCAATTCAGTGATTTGAGATGAAAATGGATTGCTTGTGACAATATTTGTTTTCATAAAATATTTTAAATTATGTTTAGGTTGTTTAGAATTTTTTAAAAAAATTAATTAACTTATTCATTTATTCATAAGAGACAGAGAGAGAGAGAGAGAGAGAGAGAGAGAGAGGCAGAGACACAGGTAGAGGGAGAAGCAGACTCCATGCAGGGAGCCTGACGTGGGACTTGATCCCGGGTTTCCAGGATCACACCCTGGACCGAAGGCAGCGCTAAACTACTGAGCCACCTGGGCTGCCCAGATTGTTTAGAATTGGAATGTGGAAGTAGGGATGCTATTCTCCTTATAAGAAAACTAAAATCATTTCTCAGTATGCAGGACTTGTTTGGCTTACAAATGTGATGTGTTTTACAGATGAATCTTGTCCAACTAGCCATCCTCAGCTATTTTAGTTTTCATTTTTTTAGGCCAAGTGAACCTACTGATAGCCACTATAGATTTTCTCTTGTAACATAAATTCCCAGGAAAATCAAGCAGAAGGAGATAAGGAAAGGGAGAGTAAAGTGTTTTGCTGCAGAGAGAGGATAGTTCTGGTCTGCTACCATTTCCTCAATGGCAGGGATCAATTTACATGGGTCATTTCTCATTCCTCCAGTCGCCTCAATGGGTTTCAGTGACCACACTTTGGTATAGAGGTTTTCCTCTTATACTGTACTTTTATCTAGCTCAGTGGTTCTTCAACTATGTTATAAGCTTTTTCAACTATGTTATAAGGTTTTGTACATAAAACTTAAAAAAAAAAACTATATACACACACACATACATGTATACACCTCATCCATGGTTTTGGACAATTTAAAGGTTTTCCAAGGATAATTTTTTTTTAAGTTTTTATTTATTCATTCATGAGAGACAGAGAGAGAGAGGCGTAGACATAGGCAGATGGAGAAACAGGCTCCCTGTGGGGAGCCTCATATGGGACTCCATCCCAGTACTTCAGGATCATGCGCTGAGCCCAAGGCAGATGCTCAACCACTGAGCCACCTAGGTGTCCCTAAATTTTCTTTTAAAAATTTTTTTGGACTAGGTAATACAAGCTCGTTATATAAAATTCAAAAGTTCAAAATAGTATTCAATGAGAAATCCTTGTTCTTCCTTCTTCCTACATTGCCTAGTTTTTGAATTCCTTCCTTGAAGGCAACCACTCTTCTTTATTCTTCTTTATTCATGAGAGACATACAGAGAGAAAGCGACACAGGCAGAGGGAGAAGCAGGCTCCCCTCAAGGAGCCTGATGTGGGACTCTGTCCTGGATTCCGGATCCTGGGATTATACCCTGAACCGAAGGCAGACGCTCAACCACTGAGCCACCCAGGCGTCCCTATGTGTTCTTGTTACACCAAAGTTGTCATACATGTTGATCTGTACCTTATTAAGAGTATGTTTTGGAGAGAAATCATATTAGTACATACGGAGTTGCCATGTTATTACTTATTTAAAAGATATTATTTGATATATATAGAGAGAGCACAAGCAAGTGGAACAGCAGGCAGAGGGAGAAGGAGAAGCAGGCTCCCCCCTGAGCAGAGGTCCCAACTTGGGGCTCTACCCCAGGACCCTGGGATCATGACCTGAGCCTAAGGCAGATGCTTAACCAACTGAACCACCTAGGTGCCCTGAGTTATTGCATTACTTTTTTTTGCTGATGTAATATTCTAATATGTAGATAAAGCATAACTTGTTTTACTAATAACCCATTGATAAACATTTAGGCTTCCTTGCATTTTGTGTCTTATAAATAGTGCTAAGTATAAGTAACATGGTACATAAGTTATTTAGTATATTTATATAAAGGTTACTTTTGTATCCCTTAAATATATTAAGAACAATTTTGAGGGGGCAGCCCGGGTGGCCCAGCAGTTTAGCGCCGCCTGCAGCCCAGGACCTGATCCTGGAGACCCGGGATCTAATCCCACGTCGGGCTCCTTGTGTGGAGCCTGCTTCTCCCTCTGTCTGTGTCTCTGCCTCTCTCTCTCTCTCTGTTTCTCATGAATAAATAAATAAAATCTTTAAAAAAAAAACAAAATTTTGAGTCCATGATTTTCATGTACTAGATTTAGAATTTAACCCTTGTACAAATGTGACTTGACTGCATAGTTACCTTTTTCTCTTAGAATAAGAGAGCTAGATAACCCTCCTGACATGGCTTAGATTCCTGTACATATGTCTGTAATTTGTAGGTGGAATGAATCTGGTCTGCCTCTGTACCTTAGGAATGGATTCTATGGGGGGACACCTGGGTGGCTCAGTCAGTTAAGCATCTGACTCTTGATTTTGGCTCAGGTCATGATTCAGGATCCTGGGATCGAGCCCCTCGTCAGGCTCCCTGCTCAGTAGGGAGTCTGCGTGAAGATTATCTTTTTTGGTCTCCCTTTGCCCCTTCCCCTGCTCACATTCACGTGCACACACACTCTCTCTCTCTAAAAGAAGTAAATCTTTTTTTTTTTTTAGAAGTAAATCTTTTTTTTTAAAAAAAGATTTAACAGAGGGAAGAAAAAAAAGGGATTCTATGAGTCCTTGTTTTCCTCTCTCTCTTTTTTTAATAGAAGACCCGGGCGTATCACAGATTGAAAGATGATGTTCCAGAAGAGGTAAAATTAAGACGTTTGGAGGAACTTATTACTGTCTTTCGAGAAGAAGCAACAAAAGCCAACATGGCCTCTGTGGGTTCTACCCAGCTGGTGTTGGTGGAGGGGGTAAGGTCATATGTATATTTTTTGTTTGTTTGTTTTGGAACACAGTATGTCTTTTTTTATTTAGATCTTTGATTTCTTTCATCAGATTTTTTGTGTTAAGGATCCTATATGTATTTTGTTAGATTTACACCTGATTATCTTTTTTTTTCAGCTATTATAGTTGCTACTGTATTTTTAAATTTTAAGTGTTTCTTGTGTTCATTATATTGTACAGAAATAATTGAATTTTGTGTGTTTATCTTGTATTCTGTGACCTTGCTGAAATCAGTAGTCCTAGGAGTCTTTTGGTATTTTCCTTGGGATTTTCTGCATAGGTAATCATGTCATTATGTTTTTTTCCTTCCTTCCTGATCTTCCAAACTTCCTTCTTTTATCTTTTCCTTTCTGTTTAGAAAACTTCCTTTAGACACCCTGGCAGCAGATTGTCTTTCTTCATCATGTTTTGATTTCTCCTTCATTCCTGAAAGATATTTTTGTACTTAGCAGCAGAAGGATTAGGGAAAAGTATGTCTGCACCATCTTCTGGAAGCAGTATCATATGTATGTTTTTAGAATCATTTTTATCTGTCTTTAATCCTTTTTTTTTAATATTTTTATTTTTAAAATTTTTTGACGATTTTATATTCTTAATTAACCTCTACCCAACATAGGGCTCACCACAATCCCGAGGTCAGGAGTTGCACACTCTACCAACTAAGCCAGCCAGGCATCACATTTTCTTAGGAATGTACTGCGTTTCAGGAATTTTGGGGTTCCTCTGGGCTTCTGTGGTCAAGCCTGGGAACCTAGCCATTAGATCACTAAACAGATGGATTAAGGGGTGAGTTTGGGAGCATGAAGCTATATGCTGCAGCCTTTGGAGAGGAGGAGAAGGAGAGAGATGGGCTCTTTCTGTGACTTCTCCCAAGGCTTGGATTGAAAAAAAAAGAGTCCTCTTCCAAGCCTTAGGATATGGTAGCATCAAAGCCACTGGTTTCCAGGCCTTTGTGTTTGTTAGGACTCTTTGGTATTTAGTAATTCCATCAAGCCATTCAGCCTAAGACGAAAGGAATTCTTTTTTGTACTTCAAGGGTGTCTTGTGGAGCCTAAGGTCAAGAACACTGCAGGTGTTTAGAAAGGACTGCACTCAGTCTGGGAAGCCCTTCAGGTTCATACTTTCTTGTCTCCTCTTTAGACCAGGTTTTCCTGTTACTTCATCTTTGTTGCAGAGCACAGCAGCCCTGTTGTTCCTGTGTTTGCATAGTATAGTTCTAGCTATTCACAGACCAAAATAGTGTCTCTCAGCCCCAGCTCTAATTTTCAGAGGGGAAATCATCTGGGTTAGGGTATCTTCCTGTGGTCTAGACTGGCAGTTGGCCAATGGATGGTGATGTTGAGCTAGTGTAATACCCTAGAAGGTATTTGCCTAACTAAATGTTTTGTAATTTAGGGTATCAGCTGTGATTCTGGAGATCTGTACATGTGCATGCCTATTAGCAGTCTACATTTTATCCATTTTATTGTATTCCCAGCTCTCCTCGCAGAATGAGGAGAATAGTGAATTTGTCTTTTTTTTTTTAATTTGTCTTTTGAATGAATGAATAAGTACTGAAAGTTTACTAATCTGTGTCTCTGACCTCATCAGTTTTATAGAGAACCTATGGTAATTAAATAAATCAAAACAAGATTCTTTGTTATGCATCTGTCATAAGTGGGTACTCACTTGTGGCTAGAGAATAAGTGGAATTTTCAGGGCTAGCAGTTGGGAGTCTTTTATTTTATTTTATTTTATTTATTTTATTTTATTTTTTATTATTTTATTTTATTTTTTAAAGATTTTATTTATTTATTCATGACAGACACACAGAGAGGAAGAGAGTGAGGCAGAGACACAGGCAGAGGGAGAAGCAGGCTCCATGCTGGGAGCCCGATGTGGATCTCCATCCTGGGTCTCCAGGATCCGGCCCTGGGCTGAAGGCGGCGCTAAACTGCGAGCCACCTGGGCTGCCCATCTTTACTTTCTTTTAGAGGAGACTTTCCATCCTTTAGTCTTGGTCTATTTAAAACTTCAGGTTCATATATCCAGAGTGGCAGAGAAGATGGTGATAACTCATGTATACTGAGCATTTACTGTCTGCCAGGAACTGAGGACCTTTTTTTTTTTAAAGGAACTGCACTTTATGGTCATTAGCACATTGAGTCCTACCACATTTTCTTTAGTTTCTTTTTTTTTTTTTAAAAAAAGATTTTATTTATTTATTCATGAGAGACACACAGAGAGAGGCAGAGACACAGGCAGAGGGAGAAGCAGGCTCCATGCAGGGAGCCTAAAGTGGGACTTGACCCTGGGTCTCCACGATCACACCCTGGGCTGAAGGTGGCACTAAACTGCTGAGCCACCTGGGCTGCCCTCTACCACAGTTTTTAGAGCTAGTGCTATTATTAGCCCTTTTATGAGATGAAAGCAGAGATTCAGAGAAGTATAATCATTTCCTGAAGGTCATACAGCTAGTAAGGCAGAGCCAGAATTTGACTTTGGTCTTTCTCATTTTTTTTTTTATTTTTTATTTTTTTTTTTATGATAGTCACACACACACACACACACACACACACAGAGAGAGAGAGAGAGAGAGAGAGGCAGAGGGAGAAGCAGGCTCCATGCACCGGGAGCCCGACGTGGGATTCGATCCCGGGTCTCCAGGATCGCGCCCTGGGCCAAAGGCAGGTGCTAAATCGCTGCGCCACCCAGGGATCCCTGGTCTTTCTCATTTTAGAGCCTCTAAGCAACCTTCCCTCCCTCCTCCTTTTTTTAAATTATGGGGAATTAAAAAAATACATAGATATAGAAAGAATAGTATAATGAATGTCCATGCACTCATTAACAAACCTCAACAACTGTCAGTACAGTGTTTATCATGGCTAATCTTGTTTCATCTTTACTGCCTCCTGTTGGATTGTTTTGAAGCAAGTACCTTATATATCATATTATACATATTATACTTACACATCATAGTATTTTGTCAGTAAATGTTTTAGTATATACATCTTTAAAAGATAAAAGATAAGGACTCTTTTTTTTTTTTTTTAAAAGGTTTATGTATTTATTTTAGAGAGAGAGTGTGGGAGGGGGAGACGGAGAGGGAAAGAGAGACTTGAGCACAGAGCCCGGTTTGATCTCAACACCCTGAGATCAGGACTTGAGCCAAAATCCAGAGTTGGATGCTCAACTGACTATGCCACCCAGGTGCCCTAAGATAAGGACTCTTTTAAGAAAAAAAATCCAACATCATATTATCATATGTGAAATAATTGATAATTGTTTGTTAATATTATCAGATATTTAGTCAGTGTTTCAATTTCCGTTTGTCTTTTTTTTTCTTTTTTCTTTTTTCTTTTTTTTTAAGATTTTATTTACTTATTCATGAGAGAGAGAGAGAGAGAGAGAGAGGCAGAGACACAGGCAGAGGGGGAAGCAGGCTCCATGCAGGGAGCCTGATGTGGGACTTGATCCTGGTATCCCAGGATCACGCCCTGGGCTGAAGGCGGCGCTAAACCGCTGAGCCACCCGGGCTGCCCCCGTTTGTCTTATAAATGTTCTTTTAGCGTTGGTCTGTTCAAATCACAGAACCTGTGTAAAATAATCACAAACTTACAGAAAAGTTGCAATACAGTACCAAGAATTTTTTTCTTTGACTCATTTGAGAGTTAGTTGTTGACTAATGCCCTCAACCCCCTCAAATACTGTAGTATATATTTTATATAAACAGGGACATTCTTCTACATAACTACAAGTACAACCATCAAAATCAGGAAATTAATCTTGTTAGATATCTGCCATCTATCCCTCTGACCCTATTTAAGTTTCTCCACTTGTCTCAGAACTGTCCTTTATAGGAAAAAGATTCAATTCAGTGTCACATGTTACATTAATTTCCTGTCTGTCTAGAACAATTCCTCAGTCTTTCTTGGCTTTTATAATCTTGTCACTTGATGATTATGGGCCAGTTATTTTGTAGAACGTTCCTTAATTTGAGTTTGTCTAAAGAGTATACTTGTGATAAGATTCAGGTTATATATTTTAGGCAGGAATATTAAAGGAATGTTATTGTGTTCTTCTTAATTGTATCCTTTGGGGTGGCATACGGTTTTGATTATCTCATTACTGGTGATATTAATTTTGAACATTTCATTAGGGTGTTGTCTGCTAGGCTTGTTGACTGAAAAGTTACTCTTTTCCTTTTGTAACTAGTTAAGTGACTGAAAAGTTACTCTTTTCCTTTTGTAACTAGTTAAGTGTTTTGTAAGGAGATGGTGGGGAATCTTTTTAAATCTTACCTGACTGGTGTTTCCCTAAAGTAGTCTTAGTTTAAGAACTAAACTTCTTCCTGTGTCTTTGATCACTGAAGAATACAGTATGAAGTTGGAGCTTGATTTTTTTTTCTTTTAAGTAGGCTCCATGCCCAGCATGGAGCTCAATGCAGTTTTGAACTCATGACCCTGAGGTCAAGACCTGAGCTAAGACCTGGGGTTAGAGGCTTAACCAATTGAGCCATCCAGGTGCCCTGGGAGCTTGATTTTTCTAAGAACAAATTATCTTTTGGACTGTCTTTGACCATTTGTTTTATTCATTCATTCATTCATTTCTTATTTTTTTAAAAAGATTTTATTTATTTTTTCATGAGAGACACAGAGAGCGAAAGAGGGGAGCAGAGACATAGGCAGAGGGAGAAGCAGGTTCCATGCAGGGAGCCCGATGTGGGACTTGATCCCGGGACTCCAGGATCATGCCCTGGGCTAAAGGCAGATGCTTAACCACTGAGCCACACAGGTGTCCCTCATTTATTTTTTAAAAATATTTTATTTATTTGACAGAGTGCATGAGTTGGTGGGTTGGGCAGGGAGAGGCAGAGGGAGAAGCAGATTCCCTGCTGAGCAGGGAGCCCAGTGTGGGGCTCAATCCCAGGACGCTGGAACCATGACCTAAGCGAAAGGCAGATGCTTAGCTGACTGAGCCAGCCAGGTACACCCCCACACACACCCCGAGCCAGACTTTCTATAGCTGTTAATGTAGTAGATTTACAGTACCAGGCAAGATGTCATCACCATCAATGTCAGTATAACAGGTGACTCTTCAGTGCCCCTAATCTAGAGACAAAGGCTTTAGCGGTGAGGAGGGGTAGAGGAAGAAGCAGACTCCCAGGGATCCTCGGGTGGCTCAGTGGTTTAGCGCCTTCCTTGGGCCCAGGGCGTGATCCTGGAGTCCAGGGATCGAGTCCTGCATCAGGCTCCCTGCATGGAGCCTGCTTCTCCCTCTGCCTGTGTCTCTGCCTCTCTCTCTCTCTGTCTCTCATGAATAAATAAAATCTTAAAAAAAAAAAAGCAGATTCCCAGTTGAGCAGAAAGCCTGATGTAGGGCTCAATTCTGGGACCCTGGGATCATGACTTGAGGTAAAGCCACTTAGCTGATTGAGCCACCCAGGTACCCCATGGCCATTTGTTTTAACCGCAGATAGGGCATCATGTAACATGTATAATGTAATACACTTACAATAATAAACTTTTCTCTTATTCAGAGTGGTTTTATTATTCTCCTGACCTTGTCTTCTCTATGTTGTGATGGAGACTCTGGTGTCATGTCTGCCTGTTCATTAGAAGCAAGTCACCCAGGCCAAACAACCCCAGAACATTCCTGAGTGATTAATATGAGACTAGGTATAGTGAAAGTCAGTTTGCCACCTGCATCACCCATATGTCATTGCCTTGCCTTCAGGATTGTTGGAAGTCCACTCCTAAGGAAGGTGATTCCTTTTTTTTTTTTTTTAAAGATTTTATTCATTTATTCATGAGAGACACACACAGAGAGAGGCAGAGACATAGGCAGAGGGAGAAGCAGGCTCCCTGCAGGGAGCCCGATGTGGGGTTCAATCCCAGGACTCCGGGGTTTCGACCTGAGCCAAAGGCAGATTCCCAGGAAGGTGATTCTTTAATCAAAGACTGATTGAGTCCTTTATTAAGATATAGACAGCAAAACTTTATTGAGTTTCTATAGTTTGTCATGCACTCTCCTTGTTGGTGAAGCAGCAGTAAACACTTCAGTGACTGCTTGATTAAGGAATGCTCTGTAAGTAAGACCCTTAGGGATCTGAGGCAGAGAAAGCATAATTTCTGCTATACCAGAACTGGTAATTGTGACAGATTCATAAACTGTCTCTGTTCTTTCTGCAGCACAGTAAACGCTCTGCCACTGATCTGTGTGGCCGGAATGATGGAAACCTTAAAGTGATCTTCCCCGATGTAGAGATGGAGGACATTAATAATTCTGACGTCAGGGTCAGAGCTCAGCCTGGGGACTATGTGCTGGTGAAGGTAAGGTGTCCTTTTGGGCTTTTGGCTTGCATTGTGAGATGGGTGTTGGGTTAGATAATTTGGGGGAATGGAATTTCTTCAGGGGAAATTTTTTAGTGAAATAAAAATCTCTTCTCAGCCTGAACAATGAAAGGACACCTTGAATTGAATTTTAAACTGCTCCCAACTAATACCTTTCTGTTTTTCTTCTCCTTTCTTCTGTCTTAAAGGGTTCTTTTTGGGAATTTGGTGAGATTAGAGTATGCAGTAGCATACAGTTCCCTACTATAGAGAGACTAGGAAGTGTAAGTGATTCAGAGTGAGTTGATCATCTCTCTGTCAGAGATGAGCATACTCTCTAAGGTCTCTGATATCCTAGGTATCCCTCAGTTCTGGACTAGCAGATGGAGGTTAATGGCTGTGGGATTTCCCCTTTCTTCCCTCCTTCCTGTACTTTCTTTCTACCTCCTTATCATACTGTACAGGTCTGTTAGTGCCATCTTCCTTTCCTTCTGGTCCTCATGTCCACTTTACCCCAGAACCAAAGCCTGACAGGACACATACTGATGGTAGGCAGGAATAAAGCCACTTCTTCCAAACCGAGGTCTGAAGAATCTACAGAAGAGAGAAATGGAGAGAGGGTGATTCTTTTTTCTGCTGATGCTGATCAGTATAATATCCTTTGTCCTGTTCCCTCATGCCTAACCCTTTACTCTCTGTCCTTGCTTTTATTGTCACATCTGTCTTGTCATGGGGGCCATGGTTTGTGGCTTTCAGCTGAAGAAGGCATGTAACTTCTTTGGATTGACCTGGAAATTTTACCATCACTGAGATGTTCGGTTCTGTCCAACTGACAAAAACTTAAAACACATTCAGTTTGCTGGTTGGTCCTATTTCCTTCTGGCTTTGTTTCAACTGAGCTTTGTCTTACTTTAAGAATTTACTAAGTAGACTAATTTCTAATAGGCAACAATGTGATTGATTTGGAAATAATTCTTCATAGGCTTCTCCATTTGTTGTTTTTTTAGGACACTTTCGTTTTTTTTATTTCTTTGTCTTGAATGTTTGCTTTTGGTTTTTAGTTACTTTCTCACACCTCCTCCTTTCTTTTCACTTTAGCTAAGGGTTACTTGAAAAAGGATGAGGTTGGTGTGCTGGGTTTTATTGTTAGTTCGATATTCTTTTATGCAATGGAAAAATTCCATCTGTCAAGAAAGGTAGAAAGTTGATGCTGTATTACTTGCTACTCCTTTTTTGTTCCCAAGTGACCTAAACCCCACAGGAAAGATTTAGTGGAAGGATCAAAATGAAGAAGTTGCTGTGGAGCAGAGGTTCTGTGGGTTTCTCTGTTGTTCCTTCCTCTGCTGTTCTCATTTCTCTTCACAGAGAGTCTCTAGACTAGAGATAGATACACTCATATATTTTGATTTTTAGTTTTTTTTTTAAGTTTTTAAAATAAGTAATCCCTGTACCCTACATGGGGCTTGAACCTATAACCCCAAGATCAGGGGTTGCGTGCTCCACCGATTGAGCCAGCTAGGTGCCCTAGATTTCACTTTCTTGTCTCGTGCTTATTTGGCTAAACTCCAACCCTGGTGAAAGTGGTTATCTTCTTATTTTGCATCTGCAGCCTAGCAGCTGAACATTGCTAGGGAAAAGCATACAGATAATCTTTATTACATAGATTAGGTCAGATGATGGTGATTAAAAACTCAAAATACAATGGCTAAAATATGGTAGTTCTCTTTTACATAAAAATCTAGATATGGAAGGTCCAGAACTGGTGATTGGGATGGTTTTGTGATCATCAGGGGTCCAGGCTCCTATCTTTTGCCCTGCTGTGTGTGGTCTCCATTCTTAAGGTTATCCCATGATCCTAGATGGTTGCTCCAGCTACCATGTCCATATTCTAACTAGCAGGAAAAATATCTTCCTTCTTCCTTCTTCTAGGAAGGAAGAAGAGCAGGAAAGGGCATACTCTCTTCCTTTCAGGGCAGTTTGTGGGAGTTTCCCCACACTTTTTATAACATATCTGCAAAGAAGGCTGAGAAGTGTGGTCTTCATTCTGAATGATCAGATGCCCAGCTAAAAATTGGGTTTTGTTAGGAAGAGGAGAAGTGTTGGGAGACAAATAACAGTCTTTGTCACATGAATCCAGCTGCATTCAGTTCAAATTTGTGATGATGAAACTTACATGAGCACTCAGCATGACCCTGAAATCCTGATCCTACTATATTTCCCTAGTAAATTGACTTTTCCTACTTTTTCTCCTTAAATCTTTATTCACCTATCTAAACCTTATCTCAGCTGATATCTTTGCCTCATATTTCATGAAGAAAAGCAATATAATCAGATGAAGCCTTATTGTCTCATTATTTCCACTGGCTCATTCATATCCCTACTCATACATGCTGTCCAGTTATATGGGACTTTATAGGAAACATCTTCATATTCTGTTACACTGTCCCTGTATATTTTCCTTTCCATCCCTTCTCATCCTCTCAAGATTTACATTTATATCCTTTCTCTTTTGCATCTTAAGCTTCATGTAGCCAAAATAGAATGAATTTTTTATTGCAAATTTCTTCTTTTTAAGCCCTCCCCATCTCAGTAAATGGCACACTCAGTTGCTCAAGTTAAAAATACAGGGCTCATCCTAGATATTCACTTTCCTGTTCTTTATCAGCAGTTCATCTGTTTCAGCTCGCTTATGGAATGTATCTTGAAGCTGCCTATTTCTTTACGTCTCCAAACTATCATCATTTCTTGGCTAGGAGATTTCAGCAGCCTTCTCAGGATTTTCTGCTTCTGTATTTTAAAGATGAATTATTTTATTGAAGCATATCATAAATGTAGAAAATTGCCCATATTATAATACTTGATGAATTACCACAAAGTGATCCTACCCCTGTCACTACCACATGGATCAAGAAATAGACTATTTTCAGAACCTCAGAGGCCTTCATGTTCCTACTCATCACTCTTTTTCCCTACATCGTTATTTTCTTCTTCTTCTCCTTCTTCTTTTCTTCTTTTTTTTTTTTTTTTGAGAGAGTGTGAGAGAGCAGGGGAGAGGCAGAGGAGGAGAGAGAATCCCAAGCAGCTCAACATTCAGCATGGAGCCCATTGTGGGGCTCAATCCCGCCACCCTGAGATTATGACCTGAGCCAAAATCAAGAGTCAGACGCTCAACCAACTAAGCCACCCAGGCACCTCTACATCCTAATTTCTAATACCATTGTTTAGTTTTGTGTATTTTTGTTACAAAATTGAATTGTACAGTGTGTATTTTTGGTGCTTGTCTTCTTTTCCTCAGTCTTATGTTGTGCAGTTCATCCGTGATAATATTTATCCATGAATATATTACAATTTGTTTATGTGTTGTACTATTTTTATATTTTTTATTTTTTAAAGATTTTATTTATTTATTAATGAGAGACAGAGACAGAGACACAGGCAGAGGGAGAAGCAGGCTCCACGCAGGGAGCCTGATGTGGGACTCGATCCCGGGTTTCCAGGATCACGCTCTGGACTGAAGGCGGCGCTAAACTGCTGAGCCACCCGGGCTGCCCCTGTGTTGTACTATTGATGGCTATTTTGGTTGTTTCCATTTTGGAGCTGTTATGAATGGTATTGCTACGACTATTCCTGTACATGTGTTTTAGTGCACATATGTATTCATTTCTATTGGATATATGGCCTAGAATTGCTGGGTCATAGAGTGCATATAACAGAACCAGCCAAAGTAAAGGTACCATAGTGCACTCCCCCAGCAGTGCATGGAAATTCCAAAGGCTTCATATTCCCCACTTCCATCCTTGCCCTCCTCTTGTCTGTCCACCCCACAGTAGTTGCTGTGGCCTTTCTTAATTAGATCACTCACTCCTCTGCTTAAGCCCTCCAATGGTTTCTCATTGGAACCAGCATGAAACACAGTGTCTGAGGCCTTATATGATCTGTCCTAGCAACCTTTCCAACCTCCTGCCCCCTCTATTCTTCTAAATCTCTTTCCTCTAGCCTTGATGGCCTCCTTTTTGCTCCTCAGACCTAGTTCTAGTGTCAGAGACTTTGCACATGTTGTGTTGTTTGGGAGGCTCTTTTTTTTTTTTTTTAAAGATTTTATTTTATTTATTCATGAGAGACACATACAGAGAGAGAGAGAGAGGCAGAGACACAGGCAGAGAGAGAAGCAGGCTCCATGCAAGGAGCCCGACGCGGGACTTGATCCTGGGTCTCCAGGATCACACCCCAGGCTGCAGGCGGCGCCAAACCGCTGCGCCACCGGGGCTGCCCTGTTTGGGAGGCTCTTGATTTTTATGTGACTGCTGTCTTTTTAACCTTCAGTTTCTCTCTGAAATGTCACTTCCTTGAAAAGCCTCTTTAGGGAAGCTAAAGCAGTTTCCCTTTATCACATCAGCCCATTTTATCTTTGTGACACTTTTCAGTGCTTGAAGTTATCCGTGTTTACTTATTTTTGCTGGTCTTCTCCTGAAAGCTCCTTTGGAGTCACATGCTTTCAGTTCTCAATTAGAGAGAAAAAGAGAGTTTTTCTTGCCAAATTTTGGTAATAAATATCCTAAGGAAGTATTTGACTAGTAAGCCTAAACCACAGCTTACCCCTGGGGTTGGGAGGGCAGGGTCTATGATGGGCAGCTCATACCAGAAACTTACGGTTGGTGCTAGAGAAGAGCCATCTCCCAAGAGAAAAAGGGGAAGTGGTAGTTGGGACTTAACTATTAGACTTCTTAAATTATACATATTACCACTGTATTAGATGTCTTTTCCTTCCAGGATTGGGGCCACGTGGGAACCATGCAGTCTCTGCTAGCTTGACACCACCTCCATTAGATCCCTATTGGTGGCCTCTCCTCAGGAGGCCCCACATTAAGTCCCTCAAGTGCAGTCCTGGTTACCTTGTTTTCTTCTGACTGGTTTTCTTTCAGATCACGTCTACCAGCTCTCAGACACTTAAAGGACATGTTCTCTGCAGGACCACCCTGAAGGGCTCCTCAGCATATTGCTGACCTGAGTGGATGGTGTTAGAGTTGACATGGGCTGTCCTTCCCAACAGGAAGGGAGATATGACTGGTCACTAATGAAAGAGGTAGAACCTCTGGAGACAAACTGCAAGTGGTAAAGCAACTTTATGTCAAATGGAAAATGTATCTCTTTGCTGCTACATGAACAGCTTTTACAGTCATTAAATTTACCAAAAGTAAAGTGATCCCTTTGTCTCTCTACTTCATTTTTGCCTTGGTTAGTGTTTCTGGGGTTTTCTCTACAGTCTGTGTTAAATGTTTAGCAACCCAATTTTTGCTGTGGATGCTGCTAACTTACCTGATTTTTGACCCTGCACGCTAGAAATTAGAGACTGAAGGAGGGGAAGGTAGAGAGTCCCATTTGCTTGGGAAAAACTGTGCTATTTATCTTTCTAATTTTGGTTTAATGACATTAACTCAGCTGCCTGTCTCCTTACTTTATTCTCATGTTTTACATGAGAATTTCCCTCATGGCCTTCTTTTTTTAGCTTGTCAGTTCATTCATTGCCCTTTGGTTTGACAGCACTTGGAGGATTTGTTTTTCCTGATTTTATTTTGTTTTTATTTTTTAAAAATTGTTTTTGTTTTTATATTAAATTGTAATTTTAATTCCAGTTACTTAACTGTTATTATAGTTGTATATAACTAATACATTAGTTTTAGATGTACAGTGTAATGAATCAGCACTTCCATATATCACCCTGTGCTCATCACAAGTGCACTTCTTTATCGCCATCACCTATTTCAGCCATCCCCCCATTCATCCCTTCTAGTAACCATAAGTTCTCTATAATTAAGAGAATGTTTCCCAATATGCCTTTCTCTCATTTTTTCCCCTTTGCTTATTTGTTTTGTTTTGTTTTTTTTTTTTTTTTTAAATCAACTGTATTTCTTTTTTTTTTTTAATTTTTTTATTTATTTATGATAGTCACAGAGAGAGAGAGAGAGAGGCAGAGACATAGGCAGAGGGAGAAGCAGGCTCCATGCACTGGGAGCCTGACGTGGGATTTGATCCCGGGTCTCCAGGATCGCGCCCTGGGCCAAAGGCAGGTGCTAAACCGCTGCGCCACCCAGGGATCCCTGTTTTGTTTTTTAAATTCTACATAGGAGTGACTTTATTTCACTTAGCTTAGCATTATACCTTCTAACTCCTTTCATGTCGCTGCAGATGGCAAGATTTCATTCTTTTGCAGGGCTGAGTAATATTCCATTGTATATACATACCACATCTTTATCCATTTATCAGTCAATGGATACTTGGACTGCTTCCATATCTTGGCTACTATAAATAGTGCTGCTATAAGCACAGGGTGCATATATCCCTTTGAATTAGTGTTTTTGTGTTCTTTGGGTAAATACCTAGTAGTGTGATTAACTTTTTGAGAAACCTCCGTACCGTTTTCCACAGTGGCTGCTCCAATTTGCATTCCCACCAACTATGCACGAGGCCTCCTTTTTCTCCACATCCTTGCCAACACCTGTTGTTTTTTGTGGTGTTTTTAGCCATACTGACAGGTGTGAGGTGATATCTCATTGTAGTTTTGGTTTGCATTTCCCTGATGATAAGTGATAAAGAACATCTTTTCATGTGTCTATTGGCCATCTGTCTTCTTTGGAGAAATGTCTGTTCATATCTTCTTCCCCCTTTTTTGGTTTGTTTTTGGGATGTTGAATTTTATAAGTTCTTTATATATTTGGGATACTAAACATTTTATCAGATACATCATTTACACAAATATCTTCTCCCGTTCCATAGGTTGCCTTTGAGTTTTGTTGATTGTTTCCCTTCCCTGTGTAGAAACTTTTTATTTTGATGTAGTCCTAATAGTTTAGTTTTGCTTTTGGTGCCCTTGCCTCAGGAGACGTATCTAGAAAGAAGTTGCTACTGCTTATGTCAAAAGTTACTGCATGTGTTCTCTTCTAGGATTTTTATGGTTTCAGGTCTCACATTTTAGGTCTTTAATCCATTGTGAATTAATTTTGTATGTGGTGTAAGAAAGTGCTCCAGTTTTATTCTTTTACATGTTGCTGTCCAGTTTTCCCATCACCACTTATTAAAGAGACTGACTTTTGGATATTCTTTCCTGCTTTGTCAAAGATTAATTGACAATATAATTGTGGATTTATTTCTGGGTTTTCTATTCTGTTGTAGTGATCTGTCTATTTTTGTGCCAGTACTATACTATTTTGATTATTACAGCTTTGTAATATAACTTGAAGTCCAGAATTGTGATGCCTCTAGCTTTCTCTCCCTTTTTTTTTAAATTCCATTTATTTATTTATTTGAGAGAGAATGAGAGAGTACAAGTAGAGGGGGCTGAGGGGGAGAGGGGAGGAGGGAGATGGAGAAGCTGACTCCCCACAGAGCAGGGAGCCTGAAGCATGGGACCCAGAGACCATGACCATAGCTGAAGGCAGATGCTATAATGACTGAGCCACCCAGGCACCCCTATTTCTCCATAGTTTTGCCTTTTCCAGAATGTTGTATAGTTGGAATCATACGTTATTTGGCCTTTTCAGATTGGCTTCTTTCACTTAGTAATATGCATTTAAAGTTTCTCAAGGTCTTTTCATGCCTTTAAAGCTCATCTTTTAAATATATTTTTTTAAAGTTTTAAAATTATTTATTTATTCATGAGAGACAGAGGCAGAGATAAAGGCAGAGGGAGAAGCAGGTTCCCTGCAGGAAGCCCGATGTGGGACTTGATCCTGGGATTCCAGGACCATGCCCTGAGCCAAAGGCAGATGCTCAACCACTGAGCCACTCAGGCGTCCCTTGGCCTTCAGTTCTGTCAGAGTTTGCTCCATAACTTTTGGGCTCATATGCACATATGTTTGTAATTGTTACATCATTTTGATAACCTGCCTTTTTATTGTTATATTATTATATAATGTCCCTTGTCTCTTACAACAGTTTTTGTTTTAAAGTTTATTTTGTGGGGGCCCCTGGGTGACTCAGTCTGTTAAGCATCTGCCTTTGGCTCAGGTCATGATCTCGGGGTCCTGGGATAGAGTCCTGAGTTGGGCTCCCTGCTCAGCGGGGAGCCTCCCTCTCCCTTGCCCTCTGCCCTCCCCCCGCCCCCACCATGCTCGCGTGCACGCTCTTTCTCTCTCAAATGAATAAATCTTTATATAAAAAAATAGTTTAAAAAAAAGTTTATTTTGTGTAATACTAGAATAGCTTCCTCATTTGTCTTTTGGTTACCATTTGAATAAAATACCTTTTTCCATTCCTTCTCTTTCAACTTAGTTATGTCTTTGGTTCTAAAGTGAGTTTCTCCTCTTCGTTGTACCCTTTCTCAGATTTTCCTTGTTTTTGATGACCTGGACAGTTTTGAGGAGAACTGGTCATATACTTTGTAGAGTGCCCCTCAATTGGAATTTGTCAAATTTTTCTCATGACTAGACTACAGTTGCAAGTTTGGAGGAGGAAGGCTACTGAGATAGAGTACCATTCTCATTACAACATAAGGATACATACTCTTAATATGATTTATCATTATTCCTGTTACCCTTGATCACCTGGCTGGAGGTAGTGTTTGTCTGGTTTCTTCATTGTAAAGTTGCTTTCTCCTCCTTTCCATACTGTGCTCTTGGGAGAAAAGTCACTGTGCAGCTGAGAATTTAACTAGTGGGAAGTTATGCTTCACCTCCATGCAGGTTAAGTAGCTGTGTAAATGAGTTAGGGGTTTTCTTTCTTCTATCTATCTATCTATATCTATCTATCTATCTATCTATCTATCTATTCGTTCATTCATTCATTTATTTTTAAATTTTTATTTATTTATGATAGTCACACAGAATGAGAGAGAGAGGCAGAGACACAGGCAGAGGGAGAAGCAGGCTCCATGCACCGGGAGCCTGACGTGGGATTCGATCCTGGGTCTCCAGGATCGTGCCCTGGGCCAAAGGCAGGCACTAAACCGCTGCGCCACCCAGGGATCCCAAATTTTTATTTATTTATGATAGAGAGAGAGAGGCAGAGACACAGGCAGAGGGAGAAGCAGGTTCCATGCACCGGGAGCCTGACGTGGGACTCAATCCCGGGTCTCCAGGATCGTGCCCTGGGCCAAAGGCAGGCGCTAAACCGCTGCGCCACCCAGGGATCCCTGAGTTAGGGGTTTTCTGCACAAGAGGTTTGTCTGTTCTCTCCCCAATTATTTACTGAATAATTTGTTTCTGTCTGTATAGACTGTTGGGTATTTATTTATATTTGGATTATAATCCAGTACCACTTTGTTTATTCTGTTGGTTCTGTTGTTTCAGCTTTAGCAGCCCTTTCAGTTAGCACTGTAACTTTAACATACTTCCATCATTGTGGTTTTTTTGAGTACTTTCTTTTTTTCAGTAATTAGTAAGCTGCTTCAGGGTCATCTTGTACTGTTTCTCTAGTCCTAGAATTAGCCATTTCTCTAAGGGGTCCTGATTTCTTTTATAGAAAATGGTATTAGAAACCAATGTCTGAGTGGTTTGTCACTACTATGAGTTGGAAGGTTTTTGTTTTTAAGATTTTATTTATTTGTTTGAGAGAGAGAGCATCCGCATGAGCCGAGCAAGCAGTGGGAGGAGCAGAGAGAGTGGGTGAGGGAATAAGAATCTCAAGCAGACTCTCTGCTGAGTGGGGAGCTGACAAGGGGCTCGATCCCACAACCCTGAGAACATGACCTGAGCTGAAACAGTTGGACACTAAACGAATTAAACCACTCAGTCACCCAGGAAGGTTTTTGTTTTTGTTATTGCCCTCTCAGCTCTCTGAGAGCTGAGCTTGCTGATTTTTAAAGTTCCAGGTGTTAAGCTCCTCTGATGGTAAGAACTCGTGAAATTCAGCCCTTCTTGTTTTTAAAGCCAAATGTTATGGGGATTTGTCTTCCTGTGGGGGTTCGCTGTACCTGGGATACCTGGTATGAGGGTCTGTTTTTCTCCCCTCGCAGCATGCAGCACCTTTGGTATCCCTCCCTCCACGGCCAGCCCTGCAAGTACATTTAGCTCCCCACCATTTCTCTTCCCTTCCTACCCTCCTCAGTGTGGCCTCTTCTCTACATTTAGCTGTGGAGAGTATTTTCTGCCAGTCTTTAGGTCACTTTCTGGGTTATTTACACTGATGTGGGTGTTATCTAGTATATCTGTGGGATGAGGTGAGCTTAGGGTCCTCCTACTCCACTATCTTCCCTGGAAGTGTCTGTTTTGTTTAGTCTCTGCATAGAAGTTTTTGTTTCTGTTTTAGGGGCGCCTGGGTAGCTCAGTCATTTGAGGGTCTGCCTTTAGCTCGGGTCTGTCTGATTCCAGGGTTGTGGGTTTGAGTTCCATATCAGGCTCCTTGCCTGCCTTTCCCCTGCTTGCACTCTCTCACTCTCACATCCAGGTAGACTGGATGGTAGGTGGCATAGACAGAAACAGGAGGTCCAGTTGCCCTAGTAAATGATGATGACTTGGACTAGGATGGTGAGAGAGAAGCAAACAGATGGGAGAGGTCTTCTTTTGGCAGAATCAATAGGACTTGGTCTGTTGGTCAAAAAGATGAGTCAAGAATGATTCCAGGTGTCTGGCTATGGAACCTGAGTGGATTGTATTGCCATTTACTGAGATGGGATTGACTATGGGAGGTATGGCCTGGGGAGAAATCAGAACCTAAAGTTTGGACAAGAGGCTGAAGGTAATAGGAAGATTTGGCCTTAATTTTGTGCTGCCCCTTGCTGTTAGGCAAGCCCAATATCTGGCCCTGCTTCCCCTACCTGGTCTTTGTATCCACAGTTTGAATTCTTTTGGTTCCAGAGCAGACACTGTGTACAAGACATAGGGTCTTTGCCTGATGTAGAGATCACAGTTGTGTTTCTCAGTATCCCTCTTGTATACTTTTCTGGGAATTTTTTGCATTTATTGGTTTCCTGACTGCTCGGCTTAGCTTTCCTCTCATAGCCACTTGGCATGGCCTATAGTTCCTAAGCTGAGACCTAGATCTTTTACTGTCCTGTTCATGGTATTGGCAGGCTCTTCCTTCTCTTTTCCATCCAGCTTTTAGCATTTGGACTGTGCCCCCCACTATTTAGCTTGTGATGATGGGGGAAGTTGGATTCTAGCCCCTGTGTGATTTTCATGTTGGGCCAACGGGCAAAATAAAGCACTTGGAATCGGGGAGAGGAGGGCAGAGATATGGGAAGAAAAGTCTTAATCATTGTCAGGATTGTCCCCTAGTGCACTAGATAAATTAATCCTGTGTTTATTGCCTCATCATTCATACTATTAATTTTTATGTCCCTAGGAAGTAGTGCTTTCACTAGTCATAAACATAAGACAAAATTCCTATTTGTATGAATTGAAGACAAAGGAGTCCGGTTTTTTTGCATGAAAATAAGCTAATTATTAAAGAAGTGTTTACAAAATGCCAAAAATCTCTGGATTCTTGCTTTTCTTGCACTTTTTAATTCCAGATAATATTGGTGAGATTCCAAAGAATAGTTGACATGTTAAGAACTCTATTCTACCTGGCTTCTTAGTAATAAAGATGTCTTTGACTTAACATTTCTTAAAGAAGTTTTAAAATGCTTTCATTCTGGAAAATTATCTGGCATCATGTGTGGTGGGTTTAGTTTGCTGCCTGAAGATCATTCTGTGAGGAGATAAAAGACAACTAATTATACTCTTAAATACATAAGCTGGCTGCAGGCACAGGTTGAGCTAGCCAGTACACTTCATTCCTCTGCCCACAGAGCTTGCTTCAAGAAGAGAACTAGTCAGGATGGTGGGAGCCTCAGAGATTATTTCTGGGTGATTGTTGTTTGAACTATTCCAGAAAGAAATGGAGAGAGAAGCTCCCAATACATGGAGTCCTTCATGTACAGCCATAATAGAGCCCATGTAGAAATAGTAGAGCCAAGAGATGAATTCTGGTGTCATATTTTGGGCCCTGAATCAGGCCACTGCTGAAGCTAGTCCCATCCCTGGATGTTCACTGCCTATAATTTTATTTTTTCATAAACCAGTTCTGGATGGGCTATCATTTGTAGCTGGAACATAGCTGATGTTCATCTAATCTAATCCCTTGACTCGAGACTGACTTCAGGAGGCTAAATGATAGGTCCAAGGCCACCCAGAGCCATGGAGTATAAGAGCAGGAGGTAGCAAACCAACAGTAAGGTAAATGCTGATTTACTCTGCTCTATACTCTAGTATTGATTTGGCCACAGATCCAGGGAAATTTGAGGGTTAAGTAAAAGCACAAGTATACAACTTCTGATATTTGAACCGAAATGAAAGGCATTATTTTCCTGGTTAGATAAGCATGTTTATCAAGAATGGAACATCTAAGGGTGATGGAGATTCTAAACTTCTTTGCTCTTCCCTTGTTCCATCCTCATTATTTGCTGTTTTTCTGGTGACAAATTTAAATAAAAATCCCATTCTTTTATCTGTTTCTTAGGAAGCAAATTCTCTTTGTAATTTTCTCTGGGTTTAAGATTAGATCGGAAGAAGGGTGGAAATTTGAGTCAAAGTGGCAAGGAATGAGAGGCTCTAGTATACAGAAGGTGATAATGTAGATGAGTTAGGCATATGTGGTGGAGATCTTTCCAAAGAAGAGATTGAGACATATTCAGAAAAGTATGAGAGTCCTCATGGGGATGGGTAGATTATTTGCTTATGTATAACCAAGAGTGTCTCAGTTTTAGGACTTCTGTCTAAAGGGACAATAGGCAATGAATCTGCCTAGGAAAGAATGGGGAGACTGGTCGGAGCTGGTAAAGCAGGAGGAACTGACTGAGGATGAGGCCTGTTGGCCCCATTCAATCTTGTGAAGGTTGAAGTATAGAGTAGGCCTTAGGGCAAAAGGAAAGTATTTGTATTTTTCTCTTACCGATTTAAGTACTTGAACCTTGGCATTGGTTAGAGGATTTGAGGTTATTCCTGGTGGAACATTCCATGTACTCGTCATTTCTGAAATAAAAGAATTTTATGATAGGCGTTGAAAGAAACAATGACCAGGCTGAGTTGTTTCAGCTACAGTTAACCAGAGGGATCTCTGGTTAGTGTATGGCTCTAGGAAGAATTGTTCCCATGCCCATTCAGTGGACAGATTTTAGACATAGATTCTCTTAGTTTTGTGTAAGGGAGAGTTCACAAGGATCAGAAATGACCCTAGAACCGACTGGAAATGTGGTGGGTATTCTATGTACAGAGAATTGATATTAAGAGACACGTAGGCATGTCTGCCCTCACTAACTTAAGACTAAAAGACCCTGTTATTTTGGTGTTATTGGCAATCTTTTGAACCCATCTACAGGTTTACCACAAATATGTATAAATGGCATTTTGTACCATCATCTCATGATGGTTGTGAAGTTCATGATCTCAGTCTCAAGTTTCTCAAACTTCAGCATCTCTGTGATAGGTGATCCAGGTCCATGTTTCCTCTAAGTGGTATGGTGATGTTGGTCCTGAAGACCCCTAGTGAGCTAGATTTCATTAGGACCTGTAGAAGAGGCATTTAGATTTAATTTCATGTTTTGCCATCTCAAGATTCTGAAGTCTCTATCTGAAAACAAGCGATTTTCAGTCCAGATGGTGATTGAATGATACTGTGCTCAGTGCCATGGAACATTCTGTAGTGTGGTTTCATACCCTTGTCCCTTTCTTAGGACTCTTGTGTTTACATTATTAATTCCACATACCATTAAAGGCAGACAAAAATTTCTTCAGAAGCAAGTGCATTATATCTTGCACCTCGTCCTCCTGGAAGAGATGAGAGGAGCATTTTTTATCAGTATATTTTGGATGCCTCTGATACGTGGGTTTTGTCCTAGTAGAAGTCTATTACTAGACAAGACTAGATAGGGAGGTGGATCTGGGTCAGTCCCTCAGGTTTCTTCTGACTCAGGAGTTTTCCAAAGCCCTTTAGTAGGTTTTGATGCCTTAGGTGGCTCCTTGAACAAATGTTTATTGGATTAGTATTATGTTCCAGACAGTGCTGTAGGTACACTGGTGCAGCTGCATACCCTTGAGACAAATGCTGAATTCAGTATTGGGAATTGAGCAGCTGAGCTTGCCTCCTTTGCATACTCCCCTAGGGCCTCCAAGATCTGCTTCTTTCTGCTGGCATTCTGCTTCTCTTTCCTTTTTTCAAAAGGCCTATGATTCTGTGATGCCTACCTTTGACACCTCCTGTTTTCTTCATGTGGTATACACTTTGGGTTTGTGGTAAACTGCTCCTCCTTCAAGGCTAAGTTCAGGCATCATCTCAGGGAACTCACTGTCTGCCATCTAGTTGATGCTCTGTCTGTCATCGTTGTGCTAAATTGACAACTTCCTGCATAAATGTCTGTGTCCCATCAGGTGGGTAGATACATGGTTAGGGACTGTGCCCTTCTATATCCCTTCCCCTGTACAGAGCCTGGCATGCTACATAACTGCACAGCAGTAAAGATGAGAAGAAGGATCACTGGGCTTGTGACACCTCCCAGAGCCTGTCTCAAATGACTCCTTTATATCTCAGGGTTGACATATGAGATGCAGACAGTCCCTGTAGTCACCGATAGTCATAAGATTGTTTGCTTCTGGGTGCTTATTATATGCCTCCACCCAGTGTGTGGTTGCTAGACTCCCAAATGATGTACTTGATTTATTTATGATTTTAGTTTGTCTCTGTCTTCCCACCTAAACTTGAGGGTCACTCTTGGAGTCAGGGATCTCATCATTATTTCTTTTTCTTTTTCTTTAAAGATTTTATTTATTTATTCATGAGAGACACACAAAAACAGATGGAGACAGGCATATGGAGAAATAGGCTCCCGGCTGGGAGCCCAATGTGGGACTCGATCCTGGAACTCTAGGATCATGCCCTGAGCTTAAGGCAGACACCCAGCCACTGAGTCACCCAGGCATCCCCCATCATTATTTCTTGTTGTATTCTAAGACTGGGCACATAGTGGTGCTCACTAAACATTTGTTTTTTTTTTTTTTTAATTTTTATTTATTTATGATAGGCACACAGTGAGAGAGAGAGGGGCAGAGACACAGGCAGAGGGAGAAGCAGGCTCCATGCACCGGGAGCCTGACGTGGGATTCGATCCCGGGTCTCCAGGATCGCGCCCTGGGCCAAAGGCAGGCGCTAAACCGCTGCGCCCACCCAGGGATCCCCTAAACATTTGTTGAACGAAGGCATGAACGTGTATAAGATCAAATATCTTAAAGAAGGTAGGTTGGTGGACCACCTGTGAATTTCCTGGAGGCTGCTCACTGGACCCTACCCTTACTTTCCCAATTTCTCCACTTCCCAGGTTCCCATCTAGTGATCATGTGCATACTCCATAGAACATAAGTTGAGAATCACTGATGGGAAGAGTGAGGCCATGGAAGCCTGGGTATATTTTTGAGCAACTCTCATGAATCCAGGCAAGATTAGAATCTAGATCATTTTGTCATTCTTCTAGTGGACCCTAGCATTTCCTTGTGTATCAGTATCACCCATGACACTAAAAAAGCATGGATTTAGGCCTTCCTTAGGTCACCAACTGAGTGTGGGACTCCAATAATGGACTTTGGGAACTAGTTTTAAGAACTCTTCAGAGAGGGCTTAGGTTTGGAACCTGTAGTTCTACTCTACATTGCATCTGTGCTCTACTCTGTCTTTTCCTTCCAGAGTCCCTGTGTCACTAAGCATCTGGCATTAAAATAATTTCTCACATAGAGATATTTTGAAAATTGAATCTACTTACAGCCTCAGGGGGTGTCACTGAGTGTTCAGAGCTGTCAGGAAACAAAATACAAGGAAAAATTATTTTCACATAAATATTAACCAATTCTAGAGTTTAGGTATTAGGTCACTTCTCAAAGCAACTTATAAAATGTCAGGTACAGAGGAGAAAGCAATTTTAAGGTGAGTAGAAGTCCATTTTGATTTCTCTATAATTATGCATATGATTTGAATTGGGTTCTTTTTTTTTTTTTTTTTTTGAATTGGGTTCTTGATATATGTTTTTACACTGACGGATGTCAAGAGGATTTTGTAGTTATTGACAGTACCTCTCAATCTTGATGCTTAATATCAATTTGTCTTTTGAAATCTTGCAGTTATGGGAGATGATTAAGGTCTGTATTAATATAAAACAAACATGAGTTAAAAATAATACCTTGACCTGGCTAGTCAGCAAACCTATCACACTGTGGTAATCACCAACAAGATCACAGGTACGGACCAGAGCAGAGATTACCTGGTCTCAGGAGACAACCTGTTTATCTCTTCTGCTCTGGGGGCTGAGCACACCAGCCTCCCTTGTCATAGAGACATCCAGGCACTTGGGCCCTCAGGGTTTGGGGTTAGTTTCCTTTACACTCCAGTCCACTTTTCTTTCCATGGAACCTCTGCTCCTATTAGTTCCTCCTCACACCTCAATCCTGATTTGTTATTGTACTTACCGTTTTCCCATTAGCAACACTCTCACCATCCTTTTCCACAGTAACCCAGTAGGTGACTTGGATTTTGTTGCCTGATTGGAAGAAGTAGGCTATTTTGGTGATGCTTGCAGTCAGGTTATTCATCTGTTGTAAAGAAGCCATCATTTAGAATATGGAGAAGAAGGACTGCAGAATGTTGCCTTATGAGACATCCATGCATCATTCATTTATTCAAATATTTATTGGCCCTCTAGTATGAGTCGGTCACCTAGCTTGGTGCTGGTGCATCCGATGTGACCACAACAGACAGGGTCTAATTTCAGATATTTTTCTATATCTCATTTCCATTCTCAGAAAGACAGTAGGGCATTTAACACATAAAATCTTACTTTTCTATTACATTCATCCAACTTAAACCTGTTTCTTACTATGGTCTTGTGGCAGACTGCTCTGCAGTTGATCATTTTGGGAGACTGTTAAGGAAACATTGTACACCGCTGAAACTGAGTCTAGCCCATAGAAAGTACTCAGTGATTATTATATCCCTGTTAATTACTGCCTCTCTTCTTTCTCTTTTGGGGCCAGAAGCAAATGAATACCTCACATGTGGATAAACCCACTCCCTTGCTCATACTGTGACTATGGGTAAATTACTTCTCTCACTTTGGTTCTTTGTAAAATGGGTATAAGAATCCCTGCCTTCTAGTGTTATTGTGAGAATGCAAGGACATTTATTATGTAAATAAGATACCTGGCATTGAATTTGGTGCCAAGCAGGCATTCCGAAAGCATTTGTCCTTCTATGCCCCTGCTCTCTGCTGTCCTTCAATGTCAACAAGGATCCATTTACATGATTATTAAGGGAAAATCTACATCCCACAGGGTTTTCTCATATTTATCTCTGGAAGAATGTTCTGGAACCCACTGCATTTTCACCTTCTTTCAGGGTTTGATAGACTAAGCTTAAGAGGAGAATGGTGCCAGGGGCCATATAGATGATGCTTACCTTGGCAGAGCTCTGCTTGGCACTTAGAGTGATGATTACCTTGAGTAACATATGGGACAGAGTTAGGAAAATGTTGGCATTTTTAGGATCTGGTGGAAGAGGGCTTCCGGGCACAGGGACTATATTGTTGTTAAAGAGGGCTTTAGCCTAGAAAAAGAAAAGCAGAAAAATCCCTGTCATTATGTGAGACTAACATCAATTTCTGTGTCTTTGGCAGCACAGCTGAGATTTGGAGGACTGAAGTGGCCCCTTGTGAGCACTGCAGTGGATGAGAATGATGACAGCAGTAGACCTACTCAGCCTCTGTAGGAGTCTGTGGGGAGTTGTGGGGTTGTGGAGACTGGAGAGTAGAAACACCTCTTGTAAAGGAGGAAGCATGGCTCCTCTCTAGCAGATTGGCCCTACTTAGGGCTGTAAGATGTAGTGCAACGTAGGACTACCAGACCTCTGATTGTCTAAGAGAAGCCACAAATCCTCATTTTTCAGGTGAATTCCCCCATTTAAATGTCCTTCACATAGCATATGTTTCATGAGTTCGGGGATGTCTCTAGTCCTCCCCCGGAATCTATTGTAAGCACACAGAACACTTACACAGTATGAGATGAAAAGACCTCGTGTAGAAATCCTGGAACTTTTAACATCGTACTTGAACAAGCCAGTAGCTGCAGGTGAGAGGAGAGAGAGCTATAGAGACCCCTGCAACCCTTGGGCTCTTGGTGGCCCTGCCCTCCAGATGGGGGATCAGTTGGACACCCTCCTCTTTCTAGGTCCCAGGCAGGAAGCTGGTGTCTTACTGACTTTTCCATATTTCTGGGAGGAGGCTTCAGGGAAGAAGAAAACATGGGGGCCCTATCCTCATTGTGCCAAAACCTCAAGTGAGAGGAATAGACTTGTTGCCCAGGCTCCAGATTCATCTACTCTGGGATTTGGGAAATGTTACCAGCTTCCCTGCTTTGGCTGTGTTGGTAGTCACTGTCCACTGTATCCTATCATTCCTGTCTTCTGTATGTGTTTGGGTATGGGAGGGAATTTTTGCTTCTCAGCTTCTCCGGCATGAGGACTGGGAATGCTCTTTGCTCTGACTCTGCACATGTGTGTATTTTGCAAACCATTTGGGAGGCGGGGCTGCCACAGAGACCTCTTTGCCCTGCTCTGTCCTGGAGGATGAGTCACTGTGGTTTAGAGAAGCAGGTAAGTTGCCTTATTTTCTGCCCTGAGGGTACTGAGGTTTGAATGCTTGAAGGTACATGGTATTGGAGCTCATAGCCCCATACTCCCTGGTCTGTCATCTGGTGGGATCCCAGAGGAGCCCTCCATCGACCTGTCAGCCCCAGGGAGGTCTGGTTGTACTCACAGTTCTTGCATTCGTTGAAATCACTGAAATCAATGTTACACGATTCCGATTCTTGAAACTGTGAAATCACCACGAGTTAGCTTTGCCAAAGGAGTGCAGCAGGCCTGTCCTCCTCCTCCTCAGCCCAGCTCCTTTTCCCCTTTTCCCCATCCTCTTCTCTCTGTTCTATTTCTTAGATTTCTCCCTCTCCCAGCCTGAGGCCTTATTCTCTTGTGCTGCTGGGGTCTTTTGGGCCAGAAGGGTTGATATGTCCTTCTTGAGTCTCTCCCAGCATCAGACAATATCTGAGAAAGGGGCTCCTCTCTGTCCTCCCCCGGTGACCTAGACCTCTGAGGTGGTGTTCTCCTTTTTCCCAGGACTTACATTTTCTTTCATAGCTACTGTCAACACTTGAGAAATGATGTTGTCCAAAGGCAGAGGCACAGGGAGAGGGAAAGTATTTGTGAGCCTGGGAAAGATATGTGAAGAACCATGTAATTCTTGCATTTCTGGATTTTGCCCAGATTTTGGGAAAAACCCATTTTTTTGATGAAATAGTTTCGTGATGTCCTGCTTCTTAATTCATGCAAGCACCTGAGCCCTTTTGTCTACAGTTTCAGTCATTAAGGAAGATGCAAGGATGCCTGGGAAAACTGCCAATGCCTGACATCTGACCCAGCAATCCCATGCAGAGATATTTGTGCTTCAGGTACTTGTTAATGATAGTGAACAGACTTGTCTGGGACTTTACTAGTTGGAGTTGGATACAAAAGTTATTAATTGATGGGACACCTGGGTAGCTCAGTGGTTGAGCGTCTGCCTTCAGCTCAGGTCGTGATCCTGGAGTCCAGGGATCGAGTCCCACATTGGGTTTCCTGCATGGAGCCCGTTTCTCCCTCTGCCTATGTCTCTGCCTCTCTTTGTGTCTCTCATGAATAAATAAATAAAAATAAAAAAGTTATTAATTGAAAAATGCAACTCTTCCTTGATAAGGGACTGTTAAGTTTAGTGCATCTTCATAGTGGAATACTAAGCCATAAAAAATGAAGAAGCAGACAACCTGGGTGGCTCAGTGGTTTAGTGCCACCTTCGGTCCAGGGCGTGATCCTGGAGACCTGGGATCGAGTCCCACGTGAGGTTCCCTGCATGGAGCCTGCTTCTCCCTCTACCTGTGTCTCTGTCTCTCTCTCTCTGTGTGTGTCTTTCATGAATAAATAAATAAAATCTTTTAAAAAAAGTGAAGAAGCTATTTTTAAATGGATGCAACAGATTTCAAGCTATTTTTTAAGTGAACCATAGTCCAGAAAAGCGTATATAATATTTGCCCCTTTCTGTGTGTGTATACATCACACACAACTGTACACATGCAAATAATATGTCTGAAAGCCAACAGAAGAGACTAGATCCATTGGTTGCTTCCAGGGAGGATAATTAGCCAGTTGGCATCCATGGGTGAGAGGAGGATTTTTCACTGTATGGCTTTTTGTATCTTTTGAATTTTGATCTAAGTGGGTGTATTGCTTATGCAAAAAGAACAAAATACAAAGAGTATACTACACCTAGCATAATACAGGCAGAGTGAGAGAAGACTATTTTCAAACACTTTGAGCTGTTCCCAATCAGAGACCCCTTGCTAACCTCCATTTACTAATTATTCAAACCATTGAATTGGCCAAATTCCATCTCTAAGGGGGGTATCAGTGGGGACATTTTGGCACACATTGATCTAGAGAATGAGAAAAATGGTCTCACGTACATGTCCGTTATCTGAAGAGTCACTTTCTTGATCTTGATGTCCTTGTCCTCGACTTGGAGGTTGACACACTGGGTGTTGTTCGTGGAAATGCCAATTTTCAGGGTTACATCGCCATGTACTTCATATCCTAGTATGCTGACTACAGGTCCTGCTAGACTGTGGAGAGCAAGATGTGGGTGAAACCAGACCTGGCTGCAAGATGTCTCTCAAGCTAAACAATAGGTTTTTTTGGGGGGGGTCAGCCTCATGTATTTGTCTAGATTGGGAGAGGGAAAGGTTGGTGCTTTCCAGTGAGCATGCCTCAAGGGTGGCTTCCTCCTCTACACAGGATTCAGAGCCTGGCTCATCGGAGGCATTCAGTAAACATTGATAAAATCACTCTCCTTCAATCACCAGCCTTCAAGATGTCTTCTTTTGTTGGTAGCATCAGGCCAACTTGGAATAAGATGTCCATTACAGGTTATGCTTGTGCCCAGTATCCCCAGCTGTCTGTTGGATGGGTGACAGCATAAGAAAAACTCACCATGTACTAGAGCCAGGTCTCATTAAAGTCAGATGTTCTGGAGAAGACAAATGATTCTTCCTGACACTGCTGACTGTAGTGGTCACAAACATGGGCTCTGGAGGCACAATGCCTCGGTTCAGACTCTGTCAGCTGTGTGACTTTGAGCAAAGTTTATGACTGGGTTTGATAGTCTAAACTACCTAGTCTAGAAAGAGGATTGGGGATCCCTGGGTGGCGCAGCGGTTTGGCGCTTGCCTTTGGCTCAGGGCGCGGTCCTGGAGACCCGGGATCGAATCCCATATCGGGCTCCTGGTGCATGGAGCCTCCTTCTCCCTCTGCCTGTGTCTCTGCCTCTCTCTCTCTCTCTCTCTCTCTCTGTGACTATCATAAATAAGTAAATTAAAAAAAAAGTTTAGAAAGAGGATTGCTTTTCTGATGAGGTTGTCAAAAGGGGTCAGTGAGTTCAGAGTGCCTCAGTTAGGTGCCTACCTGGAGCTTGCTTAGTAAGAGGTTTCAGTGCTGTGTGTGTTCATCCAGAAGCCTTCTCTCCAGTGTGGATTACCTTCCTCTCACATGAATGCCTTCCTGTGTGCCTTGAGTCTACACCGTTAACCTGTTTCTCCCCCACACGTTGATGCTTGCTGAGCACAGGGACTGCCATTAGTCCTGTGCCCAGCACAACATCTGGTATAGAGCTGTGTATTAATTACAGATTAGGTGGACGAATGATGCATGCGTTTTAATCATCTGTGTCCCCCCTTACTGCCTTGGACAGTGCTGTTTGTAGAATGGGCTGATTTTCCTTGGAGAGTCCAGATTATTTGGGGCCGTAATACCAGTATGCATGTCATTCTCTGAGGTTTCTCTCTTTATTGCCCATGTATAAAATTGTGCAGATTTCACATGGAAATCTGGATTTCTGGCTGTGCTTACACTATTTGAGAATGGTGCTCCATAGGGTCATTTTCCTGCATTGGTCCTTTGGGGAAGAGGAGAGAGACAGCTGTGCCTCGTTTCCAATTTGTCCCATCCTCAGTCATTCTACCTTATTCTGTGTTATCTCTGCCTGACCCTTGGACCTTGAATCATGTCTCCAGTCTGTGCTGTCTCAGCTGACTCATTTGGAAACAGACTCACCCTTTTCCACCTATGAAGGCAGTAGTTGTGGCATGGACGAGAATCCCATCACCTGTCATGGTTGTTGTCATGCTCTCCACAGTCACTTTTTGAACCTCTAATCTGCAAAGTGACAGTATCATGGGTCAGTCCTGGCTCCGGGAATCAGTCTGGGCAGTAGGAAAAATAACCTCGAAGCAGCCAGTTAACAGCTTACCAACCCATCCACACTGCTCTCTAAGCTCAAGAAATCTCGATCATATTTCCCTCTGAAAGGGCACCCTTTCAGCACAGAGCTAGAATATTTCTTCATGAAGATGTGCTTGTCCCTTTCCATGAGATTGTTGGAGGTTGAACTTCAGTGTCCCTAAATAGCAACTTTCTTCTTGTGCCAGACCTTATGATCAAGGAATCACTTACCCTAATAGGAGATCTTCTATGTTAAGTTTTTCCAGCTGGCCTGTAACTGCGTCTCCAATGCCTGCTGGCACTACACTGTTCAGCATGCCCTGGGTGGATTCTGTGAGCTTGCTGGCTTGGTCACCTACATCATTCAGGGGCAGGGGGAGATTTGCAAGACCAAGGTTGTTGATGAGTCCTTTTACAGGATTCTTCTCTGCACCAGTGGGTGGTAGGCTGCCCAGATCCTTTTGGGTACCAAGTGCATCAGTGGCTTTTGAGAGCAATGGCAGTGGGAGCTTTGGGGACTGGCCACCACTTTCCTTGCCCAGGATGCCACCAAGAGGATCACCTTCAAGTATGTTTAACACAGACAGTAGATTGGAGCTAGACACCTTGTATATCACTTCCCCAATCATACCAGACAGAAGGACCTCCTCACACATCAACTTCTTCTTGATCTTTGAGGTCAGGGTGGTGTTCAGATCTGAAACAGGTTAAGAGACATGATCCTGCTGTTGGCTGTCCAGCTGGTTCAGCTTGAGGAACCTTTCCAGCTGGAGAGCCAGCACCTCTGAATTGTGAGGCTTGTAGGTCCTGTATATTATGCCTTGTGGATATATTCATCCCCGTCACTGCCCACAATAGGACAGCCTGGCGATGTAAGGATAACCTGTCCCCTGTCAAGAGTCAACATTTATTAGCACCTACCTGAGGCCAACCTGGTGTTGAGTATGCTCCTCTAAAATGATTTGAGCATGGAACGAAAGGACTTAGTTTAGCTTTTGAGACCAGTAGCCCAGAGCTTATAGGTCTAGACTCTGTTCCTGGGAGTAGCCTGGGGCAAGATCTCCTCTTTCCTGAGGTCCAGTCTCTGCACCCTTCCAGGGGTGCATGATAGAACCCAGCATGGGTTACTGGGTACAGGATGAATGAGTTGAGCTAATTTTAAGTGGTCAGTAGGGTTGAGGTGGCTAGAGAAAAGATGGTGTTGCTGACAGATCTGGACTCTCCTGTTCTCCTTCTGTGTGATTCTGTGCAAATCCTTCTCTTTTTTAGGCCTCATTTCCCCCTTGTGGGTCACTGGTAGGTCTTGCCACCTTTGACAAGCTGCCCATGCTAAGAGACCTCCTGCATCAGCGCTGATCCTCCAGAAGCATTATTATCGTCGGAGTGGGGGATGTGCTCACCATGTCTTTTCCTCTACACGAGATAAGCAGGGCAGAGAGAAGTGGAATCCCAGAAGATGGTTGAGAAGGAGAGATGGTCAAGGGCCTACTTGGAGAGCTTTGAAGTCACAGGGGTCCTGTCCTATCATACTACTCTCAGTGGCCTGAGAAGCAACTCAGAAGGGGAGCTATTACATCTGGTTGGTGGTCAACCCAGCGTCTCTCAGCAAAGAAGTTAATTGGACCAAAGGGCAACAGAGTAGCAGGAGGAAGAAGTCCACTAGTACCAGCCCTGCTGAGCTGAGGGGCCTTGGCTTTTGGAGTCTTGCTGCTGTTTCCCATGCATAGGGCTCTATGCTCTGGAGAGCCTTGCCTATGTAGGGTGAGGTGGATGCACCCACATCATAAGTTTCTGCCTAGAGAATTTCACATGGACACTAGGAGATGCATACAAGGGTGTTTAGGTCAGCATTGTTTGGAGTAGCACAGAATTGCACAGAATGGAAATTGAATAGATGCATATTCTAGAGGATTCATCCAGGAGAATATCATGGTGGAAATGAATGGAAAGTCTTTCTCATTAAACATGGATTAATTACCTCAGAAACAAGATTGAGAGACAATGCAAGCAGGTTACCTTTTGGGAAAACTTTATAACATGTAGTGCAATTTTTTATATTGAGAAGAAATAGCCACATATCACAACATGTAGAGAAATGGCAAGGGAAAAATAAACAGGCCAGAGGTCTCCTTGGGGGGTAGGAGGAGAAGGGGAGGGAGGGAGGCAGTTCTGCAGGAGCCCCAGGGCCTTCAGTCCTGTGGCTGGATATTTTCTTCCTTAATCTCAGTTGTGTGTACAAGAGTATTTGCTCTCTCTCTCTCTCTCTCTCTCCATATATATATATATCTTTTAAGGTTTTTGTATGTCTAACAATGAAATTAACAACTAACACCACCAAATCACTGTTTGTTGGGCACAGAACTGTTATTTTTTTTAAAGATGTGTTTATTTATTAGCGTGCAAGAGGTGAGGAGGAGTAGAGGGAGGGAATCTCAAGCAGATTCCCCACTGAGCATGGAGCCCACCTTGGGGCTTGATCTCATGACCCTGAGATCATGACTGGAGCTGAAATCAAGAGTTGGATGTTTAACAACTGAGCCACCCACATGCCTCCACAGCTGTTATTTTTATCACTGTCTGAACTTTTCTATATATTTCAAGTATTTTGCCATAAGGCAGGATGATGGGAGGCAGAGCAGAGGAAATGTTCCTAAAGAGGCAAAACAGTGGATGTGTGAGCTTTGGGACTGGACGCTATGATCATTAGGCAGGCACTGATTCCCCTATGTTACTCTGTCTCATTATCCTGGAAGGCTGGCTATAGAAGCCATGGCTGCAAAAGGCCATGACAGTTTGCTTTGTGGACTTTCCTACTGGCCTTTATTTGCTGATGAGTCCTGCTCCTTTCTTGGTCCCCAAAAAGAGTCACTTCTTTGCCAAGCCTTGTAATTCTTGAGCTCCTATGCTCTCGCCCTGGGAGATTGCTGGAGAACAGAATTCCACATCTTTGAGGAGGAGGCTGAGTCTCAGGAAGGGTGTGAGAAAAGAACTTGGAGAGAGTGAATCTGGTTAGGGAGTTTGGTAGTGGACCTGGATTTCTCATTTTCTGCCTCCTTATCAACCAGGTTGATGCTCTAAGCACCTGTGGGTGTTTGGGGTGAACTGTAGAGTCCAGCACTGAGAAGCTGTGAGAGCTCCTGGCAGTGTCCAGGTGATAAGGATTACATAAAATGCAGGTAACCAGACATTTTGCTGGATCCAAGAGTTCCCTTTCCCGAGATTGCTTCAACCAGTCCTTCCTCATGTGTGGACTAAAGACAAGCAGCTTCAACATCATCTTGGAGCTTATTAGAAAACCAGATTTTCAAGTGCACTGGAGTAGTGCTGTACCACGATGTCTGCGAGTGGAGCCAAGGTAACTGTTTTGTTAACAAGCTCCCAAGATGATTCTAATGTATTCTTAGTGAAGGTATACTTAACTTTTGGGCTTGGAAATGAGAAGTGTGTGTGAGGGGGTGGAAAATCAAAGGTGTGCAGGTGAAACAATTTTTACTTACATTTTTCAAGGTAGTTTCTAGATAGTAAGTACTTGGCCACAGGTGAACACTTGACTCCTGGGGTCCCAACTTGACGTTTTATAGATGGAGAGCCTTTTCTGAGCTGTCTTCCCATTAGAGCAAGAGGGACGTTTTTGACAGCCCCAGTGGCTTCATTGATAGGAAGAGTTCCCACCAGTAAAGATGGACTTGGCAGGTCAATTGCTTTTGCCTGGATGGTCAGCGTGATGACCAGGGCCCAGAGGGTCAGCATCTTGGCAACCTGCAAAAGTGAGCTTTCTTAGACACCACATTCCAAAGGACCATACGGGTACCTGTACATTTGTATTGGCTATGCACATACAAGGTCCTAGCTCTTGTGGAAAGGTGCTATTCACATTATTGATATTCTAGTCTGTATGTTGTATTTATTGGAAAATGTTCCATCACATGGCAAAGTCTTATTTTTTCTACTTTTTCAACTTTTTAAAAAAAAAGATTATTCACTTATTTATTCATGAGACACACACACAGAGGCAGAGACACAGGCAGAGGGAGAAGCAGACTTCCTGCAGGAGCCTGATGTGGGACTCGATCCTGGATCCTGGGATCACACCCTGAGCCAAAGGCAGACGCGCAACCACTGAGCCACCCAGGCGTCCCACTACTTCTTCGACTTTGCATAAAGATGTCTACAGGCTAGTGGCAACCTTTGAGTACAGGCCAAGCCCTGCCAACAGCCTTACCTCTAGGGTCCATATCCTTCTGCCAGTCTTCCTTTCTCAAATATCCTTGGAGCCTTCCAGTTACCAACTGGAGAATTCAAGGATTTTGGATGAACCAGCCACAATAGATGTCACTCCAGTGGTGGCAAAAGTCTCTCCCAGCATGTGGTCAACTAGCATATAGTACTGTCCTTGTTGGTATGAATTTTCTATGTACCAGACCCTTTGTGGAGAGTAAATGGACATCAGTTGCTCTAAACTCTCTATACAACCCTGAGAAGGAGGATATATCCTCATTTTACAGATGGTGAAACTTGTGGTACAGAGCAGACAATATGCTCACCCTGTGCCCAATGGCCAGTCTCCAGCTGGTAGTTTTACCTAATCAGGACTAAATCACCTATTCAATCGGTTCCAGGTTTGGCACCCTCCACCCCTTTGGTCATTGAACTATCCTGGCATTTCAGCTCAGTGTGCAGAGGCTAGAGCTATCTTTATGGCAGTATGACCATATCAGGCCTTCTCATATCTTTCTTAAAACCCATTAAACTCAGAGAGCATAGACATGGTCTGATGGTGGGATTGGACCATCCTCACTGTTGTGTTGGTGGATGGCACAAAGGAGGCTCCTCTGTGTGGAGTGATGATTGAATTAACCCATTTACCCACTTTCTGTAGCTTCTTCTATTGGCCACAGAGCATGTGGCTTCTTTTTGTTTTCGCCAGGGATGAGCAGCCATAGCTGTCATGAATGTGTAAACTTGTAAGTCTTGACTTTACCTCTCTTTGTTAGGATGTGTCCATACATATCTACTCATGGAGTACTGTCAGTGTAGGTACTGGTCAGTGTGCTAAGCATTTCATTTGCAACATTTTATATAATCCTCAGCAAATCTAGGAATTAGATAATATTTATTATCCCATTTCCAGCTTAGGAGACTTAGCCTCAAGTCATTCTGTCTTGTTTAAGGTAGTAGAGAGGTTTGTGTCTTAGGGTATTTTCCCTCAATGAAGCCAGTAGACTCTGCAGTTCCTCTCTGTTTACATTTCTTATCTTGAAAGTTTTATGAAGTCAGGCTTATTGGGGCACCTAGGTGGCTCAGTCGGTTAAGAGTCTGCCTTCCGCTGAGGTCATGGTCCCAGGCTTCTCAGCAGGGAGCCTGCTCCTCCCTCTCCTTCTGCCCCTCCCCCTGCTGGTGTGCTCTCTCTCTCTCAAATAGATAAATGAATAAAATCTTAAAAAAAAAAAAAACTCAGGCTCCTTGACCTCTGCTCTTGCCATGCATAGGCATTGCCCAAATCAAGCTGCCTGCCATTTACCAAGACCGAGAAGAACTGCTATTGTTGAAATATTGGGAAGACATAATGGGAAGTCAATGACATCTTTCACATTGAATAAGTTAGACTTTAGGAAAAAGCTCATCACATTTTCATTATTTTTCTCATTTTACCTTCATCTGTGAGAATTTAGGATTTGGTGTCTAAGGCAACATGTAGGTGTCCTGTGAGGGAGAAATAAACTTCTCTGCCTGTGACTGAATTTATGGCACTATTTTTAAGACATTGTCTTAAATGGAATCATTCAATAATCCCAGGAAAGATCCCCTATTTTTTAAAAAAGATTTTATCTTAATTAATTATTTTTTTAAGTTTAAATAATCTTTACACCCAATGTGGAACTTGAACTTACAACCCTGAGATCAAGAGTCACATGCTTGTATGCTCTTCCAACTGAGCCAGCCAGGCACTCCTTAAAAGATTGTATTTTAAAGTAATCTTTATACTCAACATGGGGCTTAACCTCACAACCCTGAGATCAAGAGTCACATGCTCTACTGACTTGAGCCAGCCAGGCACCCCAAAAGATCCCTCATTTTTTTAAAAAAAGATTTTATTTATTTATTCATGAGAAACACACAGAAAGAAGCAGAGACACAGGCAGAGGGAGAAGCAGGCTCCATGCAGGGAGCCCGATGTAGGACTCGATCCCAGGACTCCAGGATCATGCCCTGGGCCAAAGGCAGGTGCCAAACCACTGAGCCACCCAGGGATCCCCAAGATCCCTCATTTTTAAAAGCAGTTGCATACCAGGCATTTGTTAACACCTACCACGCTAGATAGAGTGCTATGCATTTCAGTAGGGAAGGGGCATTGCTAAAGAGATTATAAATGCAAAATCCTAGGTATCACTCCTTTGATGAACTGTCCTATACGTGTCCCTGCCTCAGAATTTTGGCCTTTTCTTTCATGAATTTTGATTTAGCAAGTTCTTACCTTGCCCAGTGTTGATGGGTCTCTGTGGATGATAGGTGGACTTTTGGAAGTGTCCTCTCCTCTTGCTCTTGTCTGTGAACTGTCAGGAGGAAAGCTGCATCTCATTTTATAGCCCAGTGTCTCTCACAGAAGTTGTTAGACATGAAGGGGCATAATCCAAGTGTGCCGATAAGGGTGGCGTGATATAGGCTGACTTCCAAAATCAGCACCTGTTAATGGTTGTGACATTGCCAGTGTCTTTCTGAGAGATGTTCAGGGTGCTTAGAACTTTTTTGGAGGTGCAACCAGGCCAGGTATCTGTCCTTTCCTTATTTTAAACCTTCACAGGCCTGTTTTCTTCAAGCTAGGTGGGTGTTGTGTGAATGGCAGAGTAGAGGGATTTGAAAGACTGCCAGGTGCCAACCCAGTGAGAGCCCTTTATGGTGCCAATGCCATGGCTTCGTCATGGTAGGCACTCAGCACTGACTATTGCAAGGGTGAGGATCTGAGGGAGAGGGGTGGGGTTGTTCTGGAGAGGGTGTTTAGGGAGAGCCTTCTGTCAAGTGACATTTTATATCAGATGTGTGTGATAAGAAGGAAGTGATGGATCCAGGGGGCTTGGAAAGTACATGGTGTCTGCAACTGGTGAGAGCATGAATGCATGCCTGGGGATTTTAAGCATGGTAGTTACATAATTTGCTCAGTCCTCTTTCCTTTCCCTAATTGCGCTTGGAATAAAACTTGAACAGAGTTGGTAGCCTGGCGTGGTGCTCATTTGTATTCAAGAATTCTAGGCTTGCTCTCATCTGTTACCTCGTTTAATGGCCCCCACAACTCTAGAGCCTGTTCTCTGGGCTTCTGACTTTTCCTTTATTTTAGAGAAGGTCTAGTCACCTGTTAGGTTCCTACCACTTGAAATTTTGTGATTTCTTGCACAGCCTGACAATGCAAGAGTCTGGGAGAGAGAGAGAGAGATGATGTTGACTAAGGGGTTGGTTAATGCCTGCTCCTGCCTACCTGAGGCTGGGGAATTAGCTCAGATCCCTGCCTCAGGCAGGCTCCAGATGTTTGTTGCAGGGCTCTCTTCCACTCCATGGGGTGGGGGTGGGGGTTCCCATACTGTGAACCTCAACTATAGTTTCATTTGCCAAAAGTCCCATTTTGGGCTTTGCTGAAATGTCAGATGCTTAGAACAAATGACAGTTGACCTTTTCTCAAAGGGTAGAACCTAGAGTTTTATACATGATGATAAGTAGAAGACAAAACCCAACTGTCTTGGGTCTTATTTTTCTTGGATATCTAAGGGAAATGGAGTCATCTTTTAGGCAAAATTTGTGATACCTGTTGGTGGACGTGGCCCTTGCTTTTGATGCTTCCAGTGGTTTTCTGGACCCAAAGAATGAATCCAACTTCAAAGGCTGGGAAAGGGCACATCCTGGATGCAGCCTCTAGTAGCCCTTGGGACCTCCCAGTTCTTTGTCTTTCTCTCCTTCAACCTTGGGAGGTGGGGCAGCCATTGAATTCTGCTAATCCAAGATTTATGGGAAGATCTTTCATGCATGGTGGCTTATCATACTAGACAAAAGAGCCTGCTTGTAACCAAGCCCTAAGTGATTTGACCTGCTGACTCTTGAAGGAGAGGACCCTTTTAAGGCTGGCCAAGGCTTAGCTGAGATCACAATTGCAGATGATAAGGCAAGTACCAATTCTTAATGGCCTCCGTGAGAAGATGTCTCAATAGGTCTGGCTGAGCTGTACATGTCCTGCTGACAGGCATCAGGATTTTGACCTTTTGTAGGTGTTTCTTTAGTTACGTACACACACCTGTGTACACAGTCATGTGGTTGTCTATGTCTTTCTAGTCCCTGGAACTCAGTGGTCATGTCCAGCAGTCCTGCCTCGGTTTCCTTCTCTGGTGTAACCAATCTCAGATCTTGGCCAATAACAGGAATTCACAGGGGCCTCCTGCAGGGAACTTATATCCCTGCATACTCTTAGGTGACTTGTAAAATTTGGGTCAATTTCCATTTCTTAGGATCTCTCACGAGATTTTCTTTGTGAGTTATCAAAGGCTTAGAATATGAGTTTTAGGAGGATGTGAAGTTTCTGTGTACAGGCTTTGGGTCCAGACAGACTGGGATGTATATCTTGGTTCAGCTGCCTACTGGTGTATGATCTTGGACATTACCCAATGTCTCATCCATAAAATAGAGATAATATTGTCTCCATATAGGATTGTCATGAGAATTAAGTGGGATGAAATATGTTACAAGATTAGCACCATGCTTAGCATATG